GCTTGGAATTCTCTATCCCCACCGATGGGAAGGCAAACTCCTTCTCCTCCTTCTGTACACTCCACTACCTTGCACATAACTGCAGCATATACACTGACCATACTGTGTATTGTAACTGCTTCCCACCTTGTTCCAAGCAGTTTTTACCATAAAAAGTTCTACTGATAAAACTAATACACATTAGAGAAAACACAGGAAAAATATAGGAAACAGAAGAAAGATACATGTATATGTGTGTGTGCGTGCATACCTCTTTATCCCTCATGGTATCGTCAGCTTCACAAAGTCACGGGTATCATTTTGTTATATTTCCTTCTAAGAGTTTTTCTTTTTTGTTTTTTAAGGATTTTATTTATTTATCTGACAGAGAGAGACACAGCGAGAGCGGGAATACAAGCAGGGGGAGTGGGAGAGGGAGAAGCAGGCTTCCCGCCGAGCAGGGAGCCCGAGGCGGGGCTCGATCCCAGGACCCTGAGATCATGACCTGAGCCGAAGGCAGACACTTAACGGCTGAGCCATCCAGGCGCCCCTCCTTCTAAGAGTTTTTCGTAAGCATCTATTTTTTAACATGACTAATCAGAGCGAATATGCAATGTTGTAGCTACCTGCGCTTTAAGAACAAAGCCAACATTATACAATATGAATTTTTTTTTGTTACATAGTCATCCTAACCACCACTTGTTAATGGTTACATAATAGCCCATCAAGTGGATATGTTACAGTATACTACCTAAACATCCTGAACATTCTGCTGTTGTTGAATATTTAGGTCTCCCTCCTTTCCCCCCCTTTTTTTGGCTATTATAATTAAGAGAGAAAGTACCATCTTCATACACACGGTTCTCCAATATTTTGGATTGGTTTATTTCCTTAGAATAGATTACCGAGAGTAATAGATATATGAGTTAAGAATCTTTCTTCTTTCAGCTCAAATTTGGGAGGGGAAAACATACATGCAAGTGTATATTATGTTTCAATCTCCCTTTCTGTAATTTTAGTGATGCTAAATATTTACTCACATTTATTTACTATTTGTTTCCTCTTTTATGAACTGTTCATGTCTTTTGCCCACTTATCTAAATTTCAGTGTTTTAAAAAATCAATTAAAATAAAGATTTTATTTTATTACTTTTTTTGAGGGGAGAGGGAGAGAAGTAGGGAGAGGGAGAGAAGGAGAGAGGGAGAGAGGGAGAGGGGGAAAGGGGGAGGGGGGGCAGAGGGAGTGCGAGAAGGAGAATCCCAAGCAGGCTCCACGCTCAGCACAGAGCCTGATGCGTGGCTGGATCCCACAACCCTGAGATCACGACCAGAGCTGAAATCAAGAGTTGGAAGCTTAATTGACTGAACCACCCAGGCACCCCTAGAATAAAGATTTTAACCCTTTGTAGTATTTGCTGCAACTTTTTTTTTTTTTTTTTGCCTCTTTTCATTTTGGTAATATTTTAGCTGCAAAAGTAATAAAATCTCATTACAGAAATTTTGCATTACACTTTTAAAAAAAGCATCAATAATGCTGCCACCCTGAAATAGCCACTATTATCATTCCCACTTTTTTTTTATATGTGTGCATTCTATAAAGTTGTAATTGTGGTGTACATACAGTTTTAAAACCTGCCCTTTTATTAACACAAGTCTTTTTTCTGAAATGCCCTATAGTCTTCATAATCATCATTTAAAATAATACATAATATTCTATGGAGCAGATTGACCATTTCCTTATTACTACATATTCATGTTATTTCTAATTTTTTTGTTTCATAAAGAACACTGATAAGCACCTCCATGCAAATAGTTTTTTCCCTATTTTGCGTGGTCTTCTCAGGAAGCATTCTCAGTAGTAGGATTAAAGGGCATTAATCCTATCCCTAAAGTAGACAAAGGGCATTAATATACCTTAGCTACCAAGTTACTTTCTTAAGGGGTTGAAAAAAACCGCGCTATTACTAGCCAACTGAGTACCATGTTTTCCAATTCTGGCTTAAAAAGGGGCTACCTAGTTGTTAAAATTTGCATTTCTTTGATTAGTAGCAATGAACATTGCCCCATGTTTTCCAGTGGTACTTAAACACCTTTGTAAATTGTCTCTTCACGTTCTTTGCCCATACTTCTTCTTACACATCATACCATATGAGTGCCTTAGAAAACACAAACCTACCACACTTTGTCATATTTATGTCAAATATGCCTTTTTAGTCTGTATTTAGATGTTGTGTTTTAAAGGGCCACAAAACTTTTAAAAGTGATTTTGGTTTTAAAATTTTATGCACCTAAATTCGTTGAGCTTTTCCTTTGGGAGTTTTTTTTTTTTTTTTCTTTCTCTATTACTTCCTAAGCTTAGGGAAACTATTCTCCTTGAGAAGCTTGATAAATATCCATTCATTCTAGTTTTTTTAAATTTGCTTTTTTACACTGAACTCTTCAATCTAGCTGCCACTTTTTTTTTTCGTTTATTACAAGAGATGAGGGTATAAATGCTACCAGGTGTCACAACACCATTTACTGACGAATCCTTTCCACTCCCATCCACTTGCAAAGCATCTTTTATAATAGACTGAATTCTTATACATAACAGTCTCTTTGCGGAGTGTAGTATAATATCATGTCTCCTCTTATACCAGGGGTACCAGTGTTTTCATTATTCTAGTTTTGTATGTTTAATATCTAATAGCATTAGTCACTCATCATTCTTCTTTTGAAGAATTTTCTTTGAAAATTACTGTTCTTTAGTTTCCAAATGCAATTATTTGCTGTCTTACCTCTAAGATATGAATTCTGTGAAGGCCGGATTGGTTCGTTTCCTTAGAATAGACTGCTAAGAACAATATTACTGGGTCATACGGTATGAATGTTTTCCCCACTGTTTCAACACTTAGCTCCGAAGTTTTCAAAGAGTGTACCAATTTCACTGTAATCATGCCAGCATGAGGATATTTTGAAGATTTTTTTTTTCAACATTGGTAGGGGAGAAAGATACCATGCTTCAATTTTTATCTCTCTGCTTATTAGTGATGATAAACATATGCTTGACATACAGTAGGTGCTTAATCAGTGCATGCTGAATGACTAAATGGCATGTATGAATCTATACATATATTTGGGGATGGAAACATTTAAACAAATACTGCGCTTATGAAAGATAATGCTGGCTAGATGTCAGTTTGTGGGCTAAATGCCTGGAGTCCACCTGCAGAGATGTTCTAGAGGTGCCAAGAACCCCCTAGAATTTGGACCTGAATTGGGGAGATCCCTAGAGACTCTATGCAATTTATATCCACCACAGTGTCTGTTTCCAGGTAGGATCAGCTGAAAGCTGTCTGAAACAGTTAAGATAATACCTACCTACATGCAGCCCAGAAGCAGCCATGATTTGCTCTAGATAGAGCATGCTTCATTTCAAAGCAAAACAGTGAGAAGAAGTGGCAAGTATCTGGGTATTCCACTGGAAACTGACCCAGGCCCCAGCAGGCCTTAAGCAGTAAATTTAAATATATAAGATCCTCCAGTGCCACATGCAGAAAGCAGATCTGATTAACAGGATCAGGCATTTTCCATGAAACCACACTACTTTTCTTCTCAACTTGCTAAGCACAAGAGGGAAAAGAGGTCCTTGGTTCAAAGAGGCTTGGTTCCCCCCACACCTTCATCTGTAGTTTAAAGGAGAGAGGGTCATTTTTCTTTTTTTTTTTTGTCCTAGGGATCACTGTCTTTATTTTGAAATTTTTTAATAGAGCAAGAGCTAACAAAAGGTAGGTGGTTTCTCTTTGTTTCTAAGGCCATGTAAAACATATTATTAAACACTGGTTCTCTCTGCTCCATCACCTCAGTAGTAGATTCTAGTAGTAAACTTTCTCAAGGACTTCCTTGGTCATGAAATCTGTCGATTTGATGAAAAGAATTCCATGTTATCATCTTAACCTGCATATGCTGAAACTGTGCTCAAGGTTTTAGTCTGAAAAAAAACAAAAACAAAAACAAAAAACGCCACATTTTCTCTGGACTCAAGAGCACCAAGGAGGATCAAGGTCATGGCCAACAGTATGAACAATTGGCGTGTGAAAGATGCATCACCAGTTACTACCACCACTGCTTCATTTCACTCACACAGCACATAGAGCAATTCAAAGTTTTAAAAATTCTTCTCCTCCAGTATGTATTAAGTACTTACTACCCACATAGCAAGCAAGTGTATCAAGCAAGATGACAAATGCTGTCCCAGCGGTCCTTGTCACACACAGGGTAGAGCTGTTTGAAATGTCAACATGAAACTCCAAAAGGACTTCTCTAGCTCCAAGTAGCACCTGAGAACAGCTGTTTCACAAGCCCTTTCTCCTTAGAGTGACAGTTAATTCTCTCAGTCGGTTGCCACTTGCCTTAGAGATGGTGGCAAAAGCTTCCTTGATTCGTCAGCCTTTTGTTTTAAATCTATTCTCATCAATTTCCCACCTATTTGGAAACCTGTTTGGCACTTCTTTCAAGAACCAGCTCTAAATCGCACCTCTTCCAAGACTTCCATGATTAATTTCTGCAGAGCACTACAATCTCCTCAGCTCATACGTATATTCACTTGGTACCCAAACTGATGTTGCTCCCTAATTATTCTAGTTCTGTGAGTGTCTCTAGAGCATAAGTCCCTTGAAGACAGGGGCATTTCCAAAAAGCTGGAAAAGGAATGTAGACTGCCTAGTTATATCCTTCGCCCTGCCCATTTTCCTGATGAAGAAACTGGGGCCTTGAGAGGTTAATCTTTCCAAGTCACTTAGCCAAGTTTGCAGGAAAACTAGGCATGGGGCCCAGGTATCCTGACTTTCGATAGAGTGCTTTCCATTATACTGTGTGTCACCTTCTTCTATTTCACTTGTATCTCTTCAGAGTGCCTGGGAAAAGGGCTATATTCATACACAAATCTCCCAAGGAATGCCCATACAATAAGCATCAGCGTTTGTATAACTGAGAAACTGACTCAAGGAAAGAGGCAGAAAGCAGAAAGGTCATTTTCTTACTTCTTTGCATGATGCCACCCTCCAGACCAGTTAATTGCTACTTTGCACGTTCCGTCAATCAGGCACTGCGCAGCTGTGATTGTGGCCCCTCCTACGGCTGCTGCGTAGTCAAATATCCCTTCCGTGGCAGGGCAGTCATAACCTTCGGGCAAAAACATCGGAAGAGCTTGTTACAAGATGAACTGCAGAAAGAGCAGGTGTGATACGGTGGTTCCCATAATAAGAAATTCGTCCCGTGATCTTCATCCCCGTGTCTGACACAGCGCTTCTAAAGCTGTTGGGATTTCCCAAGTGAGGAGAGCAGTAAAGGTGTCTTTGTTGTGTTAATGAGGTGACTTGCGGATCACACCTCAGGGTGGGGGTGGGGGCGGGCGGTGAGCAGTGGAGCAAACCAGGTGATTGGAAGGTTGGAACTACCAGTCCTACCCCCCTGACCTCCCCCTGTGAGGGGGAGGGGCTGGAGATTGAGCTCAATCATCCATTGGCCAATGATTTAATCAGGCATGCCTATGTAATGAAGCCTCCCATAAAAACCCAAAAGGCGGGCTGGGAGAGCTTCTGGTTTGGTGAACGTGTGGAGATGTGGGGAGAGGGGCATGCCTGGAGGGTGCGTGGAAGCCCCACACCACACCCTTTGGTCATCCCTTGCCCTATGCATCTCTTCCATCTGGCAGTTCTGGGTTATATCCTTTTATAATGAACAGGTAATCTAGTGAGTAAATGGGTTTCCTGAGTTCTGTGCCCTGCTCTAGCAAATTCAACCCAAAGGAGGGTGTCTGTGGGAACCTTCTGATTTATAGCCGGTCAGTCAGAAGCACAGGTAGCAAGCTGGGCTTGTGACTGGCATGTGACGCGCAGAGCAGTCTTGTGGGACTGAGCCCTTAACCTGTGGGACCTGATGCTGTGGCCAGGTAGATAGTGTCAGAATTGAGTTGAATTGAAGGACACCCAGCTGGTGTCCTGAGCATTGCTGGGTGGTGTGGGAGGAAAGCCCCACCTCCACACATTGGAACTGGGTCTAGAACCCTACTGGGAGGAATAGTTTGAGGTGCGACAACAACATATCTTACCAAAAAGCGACTGTGCTAACATCAGCTTCCAAATGAGAGATAAACATCTCCAATGTTGGGGAAAGAATTTTTTGAAGTGTTGGAACTAGAGAGGCTAAACCTTCGAGATTAGCTAGTCACATCCTACAGATGGAGAAACCGAGTCCTGAGAGGTGATATGTCTATCTATGGTCACACAGAGCCAGGTCTGGGACCCATGTCCCTTGACTCACCCATCTCCCAGACGAGAGTTCTACCAAACCATGCTGTTTCTCTAGACTGTCCTATCGGCAGGGTTGAAAACAGCCAGAACATAAATACGTACTCAAGTTAAAATATAAGGTCACGAGGTGGTTAAATCAGCATACATAGAGCCATACCCAATCTGGGCACTACTATTAGGGCCTTGACAACTAAAAGATATTCCCCCATCTGATCCATCATTCAGTTTTGCTCAACTCATACGGCTTGCTCAGCAAGCGAGATATGTGTATCTAAACTAAGAGATTAAGATTGTGGTTAACACATTAGTTCTTAATTAACAAATACTAAAGACCATCATGCAAGTTATGAAATGAGTGGTTACAATTTACAGATGGAGGTTGTCTACCTCGCATCACTGCCCGGTAATGACTTTACCTAGCCCATATTCTACGGAGTCTGGATGATCGTCATCTCCTTCTTGGCTGACCTTCTGGAGATGCTGCAGATAGGCATCAGTGTGGAAGGTGGCCATCTCCTCCATGGAGGCTACTTTGGGCTTAACTATCCTAATAATAACAGAGAACAAAGAGAGGTGAGTGAGTCAGACCCAGAGTATGCCAGAAACTGGAAGCAGGGGAAAGCAGTCTGAGCAGAAAATACAACTCCCAGCTTCCAGTTCCAGTGGGCTCAAATAATGAACACGTTCTGTTCCTCTACTGTGCAATCTAGTCTTCACTTCCTCACATCGATATAATGATTCCATTAATAAGGGGTGAGAGGACCGATCTTCGAAGCCCTTGAGTTTATAGGTAGGTAAAAAAAAAAAAAGTTTATATTTAAGTTAAATATATATTTAAGTTAAATAATCAGATACTGGACAAACTTCACTCTGTGAGTTACAACTTGCATGACAAACTAGTAGGCAGAGATATTTTCAATTGCATCAGTTCCTAATTGGTACATAGAATCCTTTCAGCTATATTTTTACTTTATTGTTTTTTTACTTATTTTTTTTAGAGAGGGAGGGAGAGAGGGGGGAGGGGCAGAGGGAGAGAGAGAATCTTAAGCAGGCTCCATGCCCAGACCCTGACATTATGACCTGAGCCGAAATCAAGACTTAACTCTATATTTTAACTTCAGTAGGCAACTGTATTTTCATCAATTTTGAATTTGGAGTCAGAGAACTGGGCACCTCTTTTTAACTCTGTACTTAACAGCTCTATAACCTCAGGTAAGTTGACTGTTCTGTACAGTTGTTTTCTCATCTGTAAAGTAGGGAGATCTAATGGGACATATGTGAAGATTAAATGATAACATATGAAAATGCTTTGTGGGTAACTATCATTATTATTAATACTAAAGGATAAAAAAATGGCAACTCAAAACATAAAAGTTTCTCTATTTGGTCCCTCACACCTACCTCTGAGAGGAAAAAGAGAAGGGGCAAACTGGTTGGAACTGGGCTTCACTCAGAAGCTCCTAATCAACTCCTCACAACAAGTGACAAATAGAAGTGACTGAGAGAGGGGCACCTGGGTGGCGGCTGAGCGTCCAACTCTTGGTTTCGGCTCAGGTCATGATCTCAGGGTCGAGAGACGGAGCCCTGTGTCGGGCTCTGTGCTCAGTGTGGAGTCTGTTTGAGATTCTCTCCCTCTGCCCCTCCCACCACTCTCTCTCTCTCAAATAAATAAATAAATCTTTAAAAAAAAAAAAAGAAGCAACTGAGAGAATACAGGGTGATGTTAACGCCAGGACTTACCATGTCTAACCTCCAGCTGCCTACTCCCCATTTCCTCTCCCCGACTCTGCCACTGCCACTCAAAGGGTAGTCTATGGACCAGCAGCAGTGGCACCTAGGAGCTCGTTAGACTTGCAGAACTTTGGCCCCACCTCAGATCTCCAGAATCGGAATTTAACAAGGTGATTCATATGTACATTCAAGTTGGAAGAGCAATGACCTAGGCCACAGGGAGGCAGCAGTGGCTTTTTATGTTTGCTGAATGGGAACTCAGCCATGAGTTTTTCATGAATTAATATGACTATACAGGCTACCGTATCACCAAGCAAGCCAGAAAAATCCTGTAGCTCAGCCTCAAAAAAATCATGTATATGGTCAAGAGCCAAGGATTCCTGCTTCTCCTTCAAGAAAATATGGCTACACCCTCAGAGGTGACAAATCTGCACATTAAAATAAAAATGTTACAGTTTCTTGGACCATGTTTCCCAGCCCTAATGGGTCCCTTTTCTAGCACCCTTCCTCTTGTTTAACAAACATGGAAAGCCTCTCTGCTTAATAGCAAGCGAATGGGACAGTTTTGCTTTGCACTGATTTCTTGTTTGTCTTAAAGTAACTTTTGAAAAGTTAAATAACTGAGGGATGCCTGGGTGGCTCAGTCAATTAAGCATCTGCCTTCGGCTCCGGTCTTGGTCCCGGGGTCCTGGTATCGAAGCCCACATCGGGCTCCTTGCTCGGCGGGGAGCCTGCTTCTCCCTCTGCCTGCCACTCCCCCTGCTTGTGATCCCTCTCTGACAAATAAATAAATAAAATCTTAAAAAAAGAGAAAGGTTAAATAAATGGAAGGCATGTAGTTCTTATGTCTAACAAACATATGCGTTAAAAAATAAGGTATTCAATAAATGATTTTGATAATAAGGATAAAATTTGAAATCCTATTACACTACCTTCTGGGAGATAAATGAATCATACCACAAAAGCCCGTGCAGACACTCACCTATTTGGCCAGACAATGTCATAAACAATCCTACAAGACAGGGTTATAAGATTTACTCTGCAAAGATTAACAGCAAGTTCATTTTTTTTTTTTTCTTAAAGAAGCACTTAACTCAGTGCTGAGTTCTGGCCTAGTTGCAGGAGTTTTGCTTTGGTCTTGACTTGTCTCCAGGCTTACTCGTAAAAGTCTGGTGGTGGTGATGGGGTGTCTAAAAGTCTGAACTTGAACACACACCCTCACATCTGGCTTGCAAACAAATACACACAAACCCCAGAACACCTCCCAGCCAAACACCAATTTTTTTCCCCCCCGATCAGGTGGGTTTTAGTACCCTAATGTAACTCTCCTCAAAATCTCCACAAAGCAGCTATCCCTAGAATACTTTCCCTTCCAGCAATAGAGTCGTATTTCTAATGGATCTTAACTGCTTCAGGTACTTTTTTCAGGTTTTCTTAATTCTTCAAGAACTTTCACTAGATTACAGACATTACAAACATTGAATAACAAAAAAAACCCATTTTTTTTTTTTTTAAAAGGACCATTCTCTTTCTAATTTGCTCAACTGTGAAGTAGGATATTAAGGCTAGAACACCTAGGTTCAGGGCTCTGTTCATGAAAGACAACTTACCTCATTTGCTTATGCAGTGCATATGCTTCAATCAAAGAATGTACCATACTGGCCTAAAAACATCAACAAAAAAAGAAAAGAAAAGCAAGAAAAAAAAAAGGCAGAAAAAAATGTCTCTTAAATGTTTAATTCAGAGAAATACCATCAACTTCATCATCCTGAACAAAGAAAGTAACTTTTAACTCCCCTCTTTTTACTTAACAGTTACAATGCACTTTAGACAAATTGCTAAGGCGAAAGCTACCGGGCCTTACGGAGGTGATGGAACATTTCTCTCCTGCAGCGTCTTCCCCACTTCAGGGATCCCTTGTAGTAGAGACACCAACGCCTCAGTGCCATCCCCTCCCCCGCACCCCTACCCCCTCCGGTGCATTGGACGCTCCGCAGATAAATGCTGCGCTCTCACAAACTATAAGGGAACACTTCTTCCATCACCTGGTGCAGCTGCCCAAATTTCTGCTGATTTTCCCCAGCCCAATCCTCTGCCCCGTCCTAATGCCCTCCGGTCCAACGGCCCCCACCCCCACCCCAGAAGCCCACGGTCTTTTTTCCCCAGCTCTCTTACCCGTTTGGGGACTTTGGCCAGGGAGTCGCACATGCTGACATACTCGGGACTGTAGATGTAAACTGGAGGCAGCGACTGCCCACTGTCCGCCGGTTCCTCCGGCTCCTCCATCTTCCAATTGCAGCCGTTCCGGAGCCACCGTCTGGATCCGGCTTTTTTCGGACTCAACCCGGGCTCCGGTTCCTGCTCCTCTGAACGGCCGCAGCGGTGCTCCCTGGTCAACATTCCCTCCTATTCTCGCTATCGCCAGAGACACTGTCCCAGCTCCCCATCCAATTGAAGGAATGCATGGGCCTTCCCAGGCCAGAACCTCTTCATTTAGTGACCACGGCTCAAAAACGGGAGGTCGGCAAATATAAAAGCCCAAATAGCTGCCAATTAGGATCAATATTTTATGGCACAAATAAGCACGGTCAAAACTAACCATCCTTGTTGCCCTACGGGGCCATTTGAGATGAGGTCAGACCAGCTTTAGAGCATGCTGGGAGATGTAGTTTTGAGGGGTTCGGGTAGCGGAAGAGCCGGGGCTAATTACTAAAATAGCCGCGAATGTGAGTTTTAGCGCTTAAAAAAAAAAAAAAAAAAAGCAGCCTCAACTCTTTATGAATTGTTTCAGTCTGCAAATACAGCCATATAAATATTTAAAAATAGACACAACGTGGCCACCAAGATCCCAGCACCACCCAGCTACATTAGAAAGGCTTTTTTTTTTTTTTTTTTTTTTTTGCGGAACTAATTAATGGTGTAAAGGGTTTGAAAAGTTTGCACAGTAAATTCTGTACTGCAACTTTAGTTTATTCCTTTTCATCATTAACAATCCATGTCCATGTAAGAGTTAACAATCTCAATAATTTACTCTGGCAAAGCCGATAGCACTTTCCTAAGAGGCTGGCCGGTACTCTGGAAATTGCTTTGTAGATTCCAATCAAGCAAAGATGTCAAATTACTCTTTGAAAATTCATGTGGAGTAAGGGGGGTAAGCAGATACTTTCAGTGATGTTTGGAAACTGCAGCTCCCCTTCCTTCCCTCCTTTTGCTTCTGTAACTATACAAGCGTTACTGACATATTTTAGGTTTAGTGTGAGGGTCTACATTAAACAATATCCTGAAGCGGTTTTAGAATTATCACCAGTATTTCCGGGTTCCTGGCAGCCCCTATGCTATGATGCAAGCTGGCCAATGCCCAAGCCTCCACCTCTCACATCTAACCTGAAGTGACCTACGAACACCCCTCAGACAATCCAATATTCTTACCTCCTTTAAAATCTAACTTGCCTTTTGGACTCTTTAAGCATTTATTGAGCATTGTGATATGCACTTGGATATTTTATCTCATTTCACCTTTGCAAAAGTCCTATGAAAGATGTTGTAATATGTCCATTTTACAGAGGCAGTTTAGAGAAAGGAAATAACTATTCAACGTCACACACTTACTAAGCAGAAAAGCAGGAATTCAAAACCGGGTCTGCCTGACACTGAAGCCTTTGAACATTCCCTTTACTATGTAAACGTCATTCCTCCAGGATGACTTTGTGGTAAATCTAACTTTGCTCAACCCTCCATTTAGTATTCCCTGAATACTTAGCATTCTGGAAATATTTTCCCCCTGTGATGTGTTCTTTAACTAGAATGTAAGCCCTTATGCTTCTTTTATATCTTCCCATAGCAAGTAGTTCAAAGTTCTGTGATCATTCAGTCATTCATCAAACATTTATCTGACATCAACTAAATATACACTATGGCTAAGGATTCAGTTCTCAAGATGAATTGCAATCTGATCTCTGCTTTCAAGGAATTTGCATTCTTGTACAGATGAGACAAATACATAAGAAACTGCATGCAATGCAGCAGAGTCAGATAATGAATGTAGGATGCTTAGATTACTTAATAAATAAACATTAAGTATTTAATAAATGGCAACTAGGATTCCTATTCAGTGGCATTTGAGATGGCCTTAGTGCATGGACAGGATTTTACTTGGTGGGGATGAGAGCCAGGGGAGGGCACGCTGACTAGAATCCACAGCATAAGCAAAAACAAAAAGGAGACCATTTCTAGTCAAGTTTAGCTGAAGGGACTGGATCATGAAGGGTTTTGAATGCCAGACTAAAGAGAACAGACTTCACTCTGTGGAAAACGAGGAGACATTTAAACAGAAATCTTAAAAAAAAAAAAAAAAAAAAAAAAGATTTCCACAGCAGTGGTGGGTAGAAAAGATTAGCTATTGAAAGACTAGAGGCAGTCAGTGTTGCAATGGTCCACATAAAAAGTAATGATGGTTCAAACTAGCGTATGGGCCACGGGAACACGGAAGCCACTACCCCCGTCCTGGATTGTCATCTCTCACCCAGACTTTCTGCAATATCTAACAGGTTTCTACTTGTACTCTTGCAGAACTACAATCCAGTCTTTTTGTAGCCACCAGAATGAACTTGGAAACAAAAAGTAAATCAGATCATGTCACTTTTTAAAGGCTCCCCTACCTCATGGTGAGAATCTTTTGAGCTAGGAAGAAGAATGTAACTTTTGGGAATGCCTGTTTGTGGAGGTTAGGAGGAGAAAAAGATGCCAGAAGGGAGACAAAAAAGAAGTAGTTGGGTGAGAACAAGTGTAGTACAGTTTCACAGACATGGAGGGATGATGTGGGTTACAAGAAGGGAGAGGTAGTAACAATGTCATTGCCATTAGGAGCTCACTGATGTTCTAAGAAACAAAAACAAAAACAAAAAACCACCACAAGGCAGGGGAGGAAGCCAGACTGCAAGGGGTTAAGGAGTGAAGTCAACACTGTCAAGTGTAGCTTCCTCTTTGAAGAAATTTAACTGTGGAAGGAAGGAGTTAGTAAATCAGGGGATGTAGAGCTCATGAATGATTGTTTTTAGGATAAGAGAAATGCACATATTTACAGACAGAGGGGAAGGAGTCTGTGGGGCTGTAGGAGTTGCCTGAAAGGTGAGAGCATGACAGGCTGGCCATATAAAGAGGAAATGAGATTTGTCCTGGGCTTTCATGGATAGGCAGTGAGAGGAAGAGGGCAGGATACAGGGTGGCTAACTGATGCCCTAAAATCCGGACCAAAATAAGATGACATGAAAATGGATCGTTCTATGTGTTCTTTCAGATCTAGCAACAGGTAGCTGAACACTTCAACACACTTCTAAACTGGAAACAGTATCCTCATTTGGCACACAATGTGGCAAGATGATTCAAGTACAGAGAAAGATAAATTGTTGCAACGAGGCTCTGAAATTGGCAGCATATTCCTGCAGCAAATCTCACAGGGTGGCTGGACCCTTGTTCATGAGTAAAACAGAGCACAAGCCATGCCACAGGTCCCTAACCTCAATTTTCCACATGCTTAATCCCCATATGGTCCTTAAATTGGGAAGAAAACCCTTCCCAAAGCACTGGATTTGCAGTTGGAGGACTTTAAGTTCAAAGGAAGGAGGTTGGATCTTGGCTCCAAAGTTTACTGGTGTGGTGACCCTGGGTAAATTCCTTGACTCACTCTCTTCAACCGTTATTTTGCTAAAAGTAGTTTCTGAACCAGCAAGGTCAGGCTGGGCTATGCCACTTCTTTTGGTGATCTCTCCTGTCTTCACTTGCTGGCAGAAAAAGGCAGAAGGGGAAGCAAACAATTAAAAAGGCACTACTCCTCTGGCTACCTTCTTTGTGCATTTCTGCCCGTTGCCCACCACCCCATACAATCTGCCCACTGATGCCTCAACTGTACTTAACAGACTGACCCTTGTTTTAATGTCTTTTCCTTGGAGAGTGTCATTGTTGAGAATGTGAACTCTAGAGTCAAACTGCTTGGGCTCAAATCCCAGCTCTACCACTTACGAGCTTTTTGATCTTGAGCCATTTGCTTAAGTGCCCAGCACCTCAGTTCCCTCATCTGTCAGATGGGGATGACAACAGTTTCTAATCTCACATGGTAATTGTGAAGACAGGATAACATGGTTCATGCCAGCTACCTTATAACAACGTCTGGCACTTGGTAAGCACTCCAATATTGCTCATCATCTAAGAGACAATACGCCAAATGTTCCTTAATTTGGGGGAAAGTCTCCCCTCACTGTTTCCTTACCCCCGTACCGCTACTGCAAGAGTATTGTTCATGGTTTGAGAACAGGTCCTTGGCTTTGAGGCCTAGCCTTAAAAGAAATCAGACTTCTGCTAAATATAGGGCAACCATATCATCCAAACTAGGACACTTTTGAGAGTGACAAAGAGTGCTATTAATAATTATGCTAGGACAACAGGCATAAATGGAGCATGTCCTGGGCAAACCAAGACCTAAGGTCACTCAAGTTTAACAGGAAATGAAGACTGAATGTGGACAACACTGTATTTATCTCCACTGCATTAGTGTAGGTACTAGGTGTTTGGTAAGTACAATGGGCGACAGTAGAGGTGGCTAAGAGGTGGCTAAGAACAACAACTTTTGCCCCACCAGTTGCATAAAATTCCCACAGGGTAGTAAAACCTAAGTAACCAGGATGGGACGGGAGGCTGGTTCATCCTTACTGCATAAACCCTCACTTGTTACACAAAGGCTAATACATAGCATAAACAAGTTTCTGCTAAATATTTATAGTACTTCGGAGACCAAATTGTTTTTAAGTACCCTCCAGTGGCACAGAAGCACCATTTGCACACAGTTGTAATTCTGAGTCAAAATCGGTCTTATTCATTCATCAGAACAGGTCCCCTATTGTTACGATGAGCTCTGGGTGTTATATGTAAGTGATGAATCACTTAATTCCACTCCTGAAACCAATATTGCACTGTATGTTAACTAATTTAAATAAAAATTTGGAAAAAAAAAAGAACAGGTTCCCTAAAGCTGTCAATAAGCCCATTTTAATTTAGTGAGCCTGGTTTGAGTGGGTATGTGTTTGAAAGATAAAAGTGCATTTCTTTACATACATTATCTAACATATTATATAACATATAATATAGAATTTCTATACTAATATTATTCCACTCAATGAGCTTTGGCTGTACTGTGCAATTAAATAGAGTAGGTAAAATAGAGCCACCAAAGAAACTCCAATCACAAAGACACACATAAAGTTTTGCACACTGGCATGAGACGTGATTTAATTGGACATTCCAATTTTTAATTCTATTTTCAAGACATAAGTGCTTAAAAAAAAAAGAAGGTCCAAGGTGTCTTTTAGTATCACGTGCTTAAAAGGAAGAAAATACAAATCAAGTTTTCCAAAAAGTTGCTTTAAATGTGAAGCCATGCTGTATGGAGAGCATAGTGATGGACAACTTCGTAAAGCCTGGGGAACTGCAGCCATCAGTATTAGTTGAGGCAACTTAGCTTAGCGTGGCAGAGAGTGGCGGTTCCCCCGCCCCCCCCCCCCCCGTGCCACTCCAGACGTACTTCTTGTGGTTGGGGTAGGCTTGCAGCCAGTGTGGAGACCAACAGTTTCAGCACAGGTTGTAAATTATCTCTATCAGCGACCAGAAAAATCACACGATCCGAAAGCTACTTACTGTGTGTTTCCATTTGCTCTAAGAGACATACTAAAAAGGTCGGCCATCCTCTCTCACTTCCACTCGCCTGTTTTCTATCACCCTACTTCCTATGCTCACTTATTCATGTACTCAAAAGATTGTCACTGGTTCTATGAGAATGGTTGAGAGAGCTCCCCATCCCCATCCCCATGCTTGGAGAGAAATCTGAAAAATCTGAGAGAAAGGACAGGATTGAAGTAGGGAGTTACCTGAGTGCAAACAGGGAAATGAGTAGAGTCTTTACACATAAATAAGGGGAAGGAGAGTGCTATGGACTGGATGTGTGTTTCCCTCCGAAATTCATACCTTGAAGCCTTAATCCCCAACGTGATGGTATTTGGAGGTGGGGGCCTTTGGAAGGTAACAAGGATTAGATGAAGTCACGAGGGAAGAGTTCCCATGACAAAATTAGTGCACTTATTGAGAAGGAGAAGAGATGAGAGTGCCCGCCCTCCCCCCCTTTCTCGGCCATGTGACGACACAGCAGGAAGGTGGCCATTTGCAAACCAGGAAGCCAGTCCTCACCAGGGACTGAATCTGCTGGCGATCTTGGACCTCTCAACCTCCAGAAACGTGAAAAATAAATGTTTGTGGTCTAAGCCACCCATTCTACAGTCTTTTGTTACAGCAGCCTGAACTAAGGCAGAAAGTTAGGAGAAGTGTTCTTCAAACAAGGCTACCTTAACATGGGACTAGGGAAAAGAACTTAAAGATTCCTCCATTACCCTCGGGGTGTCAGCCCTGGGGGGCCACGGTCACCACCATCCGCATAACAAACACATATTTACATAGCCTGCCCAATGTAGATACAGATAGATATACAGAAACATCGAAACTATTTACATTCAGAAAAATTCCCATGTATGCTTAGACACGCACCCAAATGCAGGCATTTACAAGAAACAGATAGATGCCCACGGATATCAAAATACACATAGCTACGAACACTCACTAGAATCAGGGAGTGAAAAAGCAAGTGAGGAGTTTAAGAACAGATGGGAGGGCAGTGAGTTGGTGGGTCCGGGGTTGGATGCTGGAGAAAGTGAGTAGGCGAGTGAGACAGAGACAGGTAAGGACCACCAAGGAAGGACTGCTTGGGAAGGCAGCTGTAGACTAGACTGCTGGATTCCTGTTTGCCAAAGACAGAGACTTCAATTGCCGTGTGTGCTGTGTGTCGGCCCACTCTTCAGAGGCAAAAGTTGGGTGCACAAGGCTCTCTTCAGGGCACTAACCTACCTCTGATTCCCCCTCTGCTCCCCAAGTGTAAGACACCACACAGGCATCTTCTCCCTTCGTTTTGGGAATCGGGCTCCTGACTCCTGGGTTATTCTGCACTTTCTGCTACAAATACATCTCAGAGTACCAGCCATCTTCATACAATGTGATTTCAGTTATTAATACAGAAATTCTTACATATAGATGCTGCACTAGCATTTTTTGATATTTCCCCAAAGGGAGAGTAGCAATTATGTATGTGGATACAGAGAAGGCAAGAACAGGGATGATAATTCTATACAGAAAGGAGTTCATCACTCTGGGGGGGGGGGCAACATGTGAGTAAAGAAGGAAACCATGACCTGGTACTCTCTTTTCCCCAGAAAAGGCACTTAGAATAGACACTTCCAAGTTATGGCAGTATAAAAATCCAGCAATTTAGGTTTACCCACTTGAAAGAATGTCCCAAAGCACCCATCACTCATTCACACAATGAAACTACACATGAGAAAAACCAAACTTTAGTAGTAAGTTATTATTAATACCTGCTCTCCAAACAGTAGTTAGAAAACTACGTTTGTAACAGACCTAGAGAATAAAAACACATGCAAACTCTCAGGAACTATGAAAGAATTAAGGCCTACGATGGAGTGCCTGGTGGGGAGCATGTTCCCCCAGGCCAGAGTTCACTTCTAAAGCAATTAGTTTGTCGAAAACGTTCACTCCTCTTGGGTGGGATGGGGTGGAAAGGGGCAGGGGAGGAGTGATCAGGTCAACACGTTTCAGTCTCATGCACAATCAAGCGAGGCAGGAACGAGCTGTCAAAAGGCTCCCAGCAGCCAGGGCCCAAAGGCCTCACTGCATGGCGCAGATGCTGTGGGGCAGGAACTCCTGCACGTAGGTGGCGGCTGCCTTGGAGAGGTAGGTCATGGTGCCAAACCTGCCACTGGGTGCACTGTCATACAGAAGAGTACAGATGCCAGACGCGGGATCCTTGGCCAACATGGTATCATCTGCACCGAGGGTTTTCTGTTTGGTTTTTAAGGGTGGGAGAACACAGGGGAAAGGCAAGATTACTAATCTACTGATTAAAGTCCTGATTAGGATAACTCTGAGCCTCCTCCCCATTGCCAACTACTTGGGTCTTAGGTTGTGTAGGTAGGAAGGGATCAGAGTTTGGCACAAACTGTTGAATATGGATTTCTGTACATGCATTTTTCACTAGATTCCCCCAAATCCTACGCATTATTTGTAAAGAACTGATTGTGTAGAAGTTTTGAAAGTTAAAGATAACAGTTAATTAAACGAGTTGTGTCTGTTAAGGGTCAAATGTTAATACCAACAAATCACCCCGGAGGGACTTTGGTCTGAATCTTTCTAGTACCATTGATTTCAGCTCGTATTATTTTATCTTGCATTTGATCCTGATTTCTTTCTAAGTCAACTTAATTCAAATAGACTGTAAGCTTTCCAAGCTAGAGCCTACGCCTAAAAGGGATCACATTATCCGATACATGGAAGAGTATCTTTTCTGGGGAAAAGAGAGCAATCCAGAATATTTAAAATTAGGACTGTCCTGGAAAATCAAAATAATTGTGATTTCTTTTGCATTCCCCCACCGTGCCAAATAGAATGAAACACCTATTATATATTTTGGAGATTTTCCTATTGACAAGAGTGCATGCCCTTCACCTTAGTATTCCTACTCTTCATCTGGGAAACATTTGGAAAGCTTTCGATAAGTAGTTTGCATTTATTAAATGTGGTTAATTTCCTGGAAGAAGGTATGTTGAGAAAAATTTTTTAAATGTAGAATTAAAAGTTTCACTTTAATATTTTCCTAGGTAAGTAGCAAATGCAAAAACCAAACCAAACCAAGGTAAAATCAAACCTTCTCTTTTCCTTAAAAGTCCAAAAAAGGATATGCTATCCAATAGTCTCTTATTAAGTCCTTCTTGCTACACAAAGTCATGTGATAAGAAGAATGAAATATGATGAAAAGCATAAAAGCCTCCTGAGTTCCAGGCAACTTTACCATCTAATACAATCGTAAAACACTTGGTGAAACACGGAGGTCATCCCACCGCCTACTTCTTTTGCCATCAGAGCTCAGAGCCACTCACTACAAAGGGGGACCAGAAAAGAGCTGAGGAAGAGGGCGCAAAAGAGTGACCTTGGCTTCATGAAGCTCTCTGAGTGCAGTCAGGTTAGTGTCAGACATTCTCCTTCGAGAAAACAACCGGGTTGCCGTTTGCCTACCTGTTCTTGAAGGAACAAGTCATTAGCAATATGCACTATTTTTTCCACGGCAATGATGCTTCCTATGCTATGAATTTCAATATCTGCCATCATAGTGAGGACAAGGATGGCTTCAACCAGAAGCTGGCGGTACTCGGGCTGAGGTACGCGATTCAGGACAGACTCCACATGAACAGAGAATTTAATCTCGCCTGGAGTCATCTGTGATAGAGAAAAAGAAAATCAGTTCCTAAGCACTCATCACTGGGGAGGCATCAATCACCTATTCTGAAAGGCAGTAAAAGCAATGTAGCCAAGAGTGCTGCTCAGTCTCCCTCAAAGTACCTGAGTGAGTATAAATTGGTTCAATCTTTTTGGAAGGCAGTCTGGTGGCGCATAACAAGAGTCATAAAAGTGTCAGTGCCCTCTAACCCACAATCCTATTTCGGAGAGTTCGTCCTAAGTTAATAATTCAAGAGAGGGGGAAAAAAAAAAGCCCCATGTGCAAGAGTGTTTATAGCAGCATTAGTCACAAGTGTAAAACTAAAAGTAATCTGAACACGGGAATGGTTGTGTAAATAATGGCACATCATGGTACAGCAACTTCATGAGTTTTTATAGAGTCATTTGAGAGAATAAATATGACGACTGTGCATAAAAGAAAAATCTAAGTGGAACTTAAAGTCGTATTCACATGATGACTAGAATTATGTAAAACAGTTATATCCTGTTAGATTAAAATGGGCAGGAAGAAATAAAAAGTTATTTTAGGGTGAAGGGGATTGAGGGATAAGTTTGGGTAAAACAGTATTGAGTATATACTTTACAGTGGCACTGGAGATTTGGACTTTAAAGACCAGGGTTCAAGTCCTGTCTTTGCCAGTTACTAGTTCTATGACCTTGAACAGTTTGTTTCCCTAAATTTGTTTCCTTATCTGTAAACCGGGAACTATGATCCCTTCCTTGGCTGTCTCACATACCTGTGTGAAGGTACTTTGGAGACTCGTAAAGATACCATTCAGGTATGCATTGTTATTAATTATACTAACATTCTGATCATGCTTAAAAGCAGAGAAAGGACAAATAGAGGTCACAGTGTTCTTTATTAGAGAAGAGGCCTCTAGGCAAGAGTAAAGCCCTGAAGCATAGCATTAGCTTTCTGTACCAGCCCGTCCAGCCATCATCTGCAACAACCCCAGTGTTTTTGAGAATTTTCCCACTATCCAATCTTACAATTCCTAATTTGCTAATTCTAGTTCCTTTGTTGGTTTTGTATAAAGGCGATTCTTTATCATTTCTATGTGATTGGGCGAGAAGGGAAATATAAAGGTACCCGATAATATATGTGTGTGGTTCACGGCAATGTTTTCCAACCATGGTTATCTATCAGACTCATTCTAAAGATTTTTTTTTTTTAAGTACAGATGCTCAGGCCCCATCCCTAGAGATTTTAATCCACTAAGTTGGAGATGGGCGCTCAGGTTGCTGTGACACATAGTTCGAGCTAAGGACCACTAGTTCAACATCTAAAAGTCTACAAGCATCCTACTAGAGAAAGGTGGGGGGTGGGCGCCTGGGTGGCTCAGCTGTTAAGGATCTGCCTTTGGCTCAGGTCACGATCCTGGGATCGAGCCCCGCATTAGGCTCCCTGCTCCCTCTCCCAATCCCCCTGCTTGTGTTCCCTCTCTTGCTGTCTCTCTCTCAGTCAAATAAATAAAATTTAAAAAATTTAAAAAAATAAAAATTAAAAAAAAAATCTAAAAAAAAGAGAGAAAGGTTGGGATGAGAAGGATGGGGAAATGAGAGACATTCTTAGATCTCTATCTTGACTGCCCTCTCCAACTCTGGCCACACTCACATAAACCAGCCTAATTTAGTCAACCACTAAACAAGGCTGTCCTTATATAATTAATATAACACATAATTGCTCTCTCATGTTCCCATTCTGTTTTTAAAAAACATTCTCTCCTTTCCTCCGATGCACTTCATTTTTAGTTGATTTGGAGTCATAGAACCATTACTTTGAAAAATGATCCCTGAAATACTTGAGCTACACAAACTATCAATCACACAAATGAGAAAGACACAGAATCTCACCTCTCTAGTGGTTGAAGAAGGAAGCACAAAACCTTCCACAGAGAGTCCGTGACACTGCAAAACAGCAAAAACATGTTGTCACTAAGGATATGCTGACAACTGGGGGCCTGTAAGAAGACACTTAGTATTTCTGAGTGTGTTCCATCAGGTAGATGCTGAGTAATCGCAGGCCAGTGGAAGGCCCTGCAGCCCAAGTGTCCTTGCCAAGGGGTTGTGATTACTATGTGGCAAGAATCAGGGGTGGACTACAGGACATGCAAGATTTACCCTCTTTTTAAAGGAATGGAAGGGATAGAGAAGGTCTACCTTCTGCGAGAGACTAGCCCCAAAGATTCAGAGACTACCCAAGAGGATATCATGCTAGGTCCCAGACTCATCACAAATTAGCTTTCAGAAAGATGTTTAGGCTGAAGAAAACTCAAAAGCTGCATTTGCAGACATGTATTACTCCATTTTCTAGTGAAGCATCCCCCGTCAGCACCCTTGATGATGCCCTCACCCTGCTGTACTTTTTTCCATAGTACTTGTCATCTTTTAACATTCTAGATAATTTACTTATTTAGTATGTTTATTATTTATTGCTTGTCTCTCCCTAGCAGAATGTAAGTTCCATAAGGACAGAGATTGTTGTCTATTTTGTTCTTTGCTGTATTGCTGTGAGCACCTAGGACACTGCCTAGTGCAACAGCAGATGCTCAAGAAATAGTACAGAAATGAATGATATTTCATCTTCTCTCTCGCCATCAACTCAATTATTAAAGAGCAATGGGAATTAATGACTTGCTATTTTAGATGTTAAGTAAATCAAAACAATACACAGTAAGCCACAGACAAAGATTCCAACCCCCAGACACTTCCATCTCATGTTCCATATGCCAAATAACAGTCTTTGTACAGAGAATTACCAGCTTGCAAACATATGCGCAAAGTAATTATGTTACATTCATACTCTAAAAGGAATGGAATGACAAAGCAGAGGGCATTTGTTTTTCCTCTTATATGAGGGTTCCAAGTCCAGGTTTTGATTCTACCACAAAATAGTCAATCTTCCCAGTCATATTTAAATGTTCCTTTTCTTGTAGTCTCAAGGCCTTGTGGTTTTGCACCTTTATCATAACACATCTTCGCTTTGCATCATAGCTGCTATTTATGAAGGTAACTATGGATTAAACTCCCTGGTGACAAGAACACATACCTTCCATGGTATCTGGGGCAGAAGAGCACTTACTACATGTCTGTGAAATTGAATTGCCATAGCCCAGGCATAACTGTGCAGATAAAATACCTGTCTGTAGAGGTTAGACGGAGGAAAGCAAGTTTTAAGTACTCATTGAAAAGAAGATTGCCAGAGCTGGTAGTCTGAGGATTCAACTTCTAGCTTTCCAAAAGATCACCTGTTTCTGTCCCTGGGAGAATATCAGTGCTAAGGGGAGAAACGTAACTAAAGGTTTTGAAGTCCTGGATGATATTTCCTTCAGGTCCTTGCCAAGGGTGACAAAGCTGAAAGTGGCACCCAAGAGACTATAAATGAGACCTATGAACGAGTACAGTGGACTTCTCGGCCCTCTAAAGCTGTCACAATCATAATGGTGTGATATCCCCTTAACTGTCTTTGGCAAGCTAGGCCTTTGAAAGAAAAACAAAAATTGGTCATGCCAACAGAGTCTTTGGACCATTAGCATCGGTATGATCTTGCATTTATTTAGTAGTTTTCATCCAAGAAAAAAATATAAGTAATAGCTGCTTACACTAACTCCCCAGATACCACAGTCATTTTACAATAGCGTTAGCACATTGCTACAGAAAACATTTCCACTCTACAGTAGCTACAAAGAAAGTGGCTCTTTGTTGCCAAATTTGATAAATGTATCACAATGTCCAACAATGCTCAACTATGGCCAAAAGCAGAGAAGCCATGATTTTTGAAATCTAATTTATAGACAACACCATAGCCATAGCAACAATAATAGAAAGAGACTGAATCATAAATAGTATCAAAATAACAAATCAACTTTGTTAATTAGGTCTTCTTCTAGGTTTTGTCCATATGAGCATATGATATTTATATAATTGTGGTGACGTCACAGTCATGTCATATCTCGGCCAAGGAGACTGAGGATATCAAGGGGGGAAAACAAAGAGATGTCTACAATGTGTTATTCTCACCTTCTGTAAAACTTTCCATACTTTTTGATAAAATCCAACTGGGACTCTGTTCAGTGCTCCATCTAGCCTTCTTCGGCGTTGCCACTGACCTTGACGATTATCTTTAGATGTGTGTTGAGCATATGCACGAGGAAAGGACCGACTACTTGAAGCCACAGGTGTTCCAGGTGACTTGGGACAAAAGGAGAGGAAAGAACATGAAGCAAAAGTCATCTCTGTTCCTCTGAACAGAATAATAAACACACTGTAGAATTAGAAACCACATAATAAGTGTAACATCCAAGATAGAGAGATTACAGTGAAGCCAGTAGACAATGTAAATGGATACAATCCTTTTTAGAAAGCAATCTAGTGATATTTAAAAGGAGCCATATAAATACTGATCATCTGGGAGGTTTTTAGCTGTCTCTTGACTTGGTTATCTCTCTGTTAAACTTCTAGCTGTTCTATGGCTTAGTTTGTTGCTTTCAACACAAGCCTCAATCAAATTAAAAGAACTGAAATCAGACAAAGCATGTTCTCTGATTACAATGAAATTAAGTTAGAAATTAGTAACAGAAGGAAATTTAGGAAATTTACAAATATGTGGAAATTAGACAATACGCCCCTAAATAACTGGTGGTTTAGGAAAGGAATCACAAGGAAAATTAGAAAACACTGAGATAAATGAAAACACAACATACCAAAACTTAAGGGATGTGGCTAAAACAGTGCTTAAAGAGAAATTTATGTTATAAATACTTGTATTAAAAGAGAAGTAGGGGCGCCTGGGTGGCTCAGTTGGTTAAGCATCCAACTTTTTATTTTGGCTCAGGTTATGATCTCAGGGTTATGAGATCAAGCGCTGCATCATTCTTTGTGCTGGGAGTGGAGCCTGCTAATGATCCTCTCTCTTCCTCTCCCTCTGCCCCTTCCCCCACTTGTGCGCACTCTCTCTCTCTCTCTCAAAAAAAAAGATGTTTTTTACTCTTGCTACTTTTGATCAGCATTGTACCAGAGGTTCTAGCCAGTGATATTAAGCAAGAAAAGGAATAAAAATCATCCAGAATGGAAAGGAAGAAGTAAAACTACATCTGCAGATGACATGATCTTATATAGAAGGAATTCACAGAAAAGCATTAGAATACATGAGCTCAGTAAAATTGTACAAGATCAATATAAAAATCAATTGTATTTCTAAATAGTAGCAATCAATGATCTGAAAATGAAATTAAGAAAACAATCTCATTTAAAATAGCATCTGGGGGCGCCTGGGTGGCTCAGTTGTTAAGTGTCTGCCTTCAGCTCAGGTCATGATCCCGGGGTCCTGGGATGGAGCCATTCATTGGGCTCCCTGCTCCACAGGAATCCTGCTTCTCCCTCTCCTACTCCCCCTCCTGCTTGTGTTCTCTCTCTTGCTGTGTCTCTCTGTCAAATAAATAAATAAAGTCTTAAAAAAATAGCATCTGAGAGAATAAAATACGTAGGAATAAATTTAACAAAAGAAGTTGTAAAACATATACTCTGAAAACTTTAAGACATGTTGAAAGAAATTAAAGAATGGAAAGAAATCCCATGTTCATAGGTCAGAAGACTTAACATTGTTAAGATGGCAATACTCTTGAAATTTATCTGCAGAATCAACACAATCTTCATCATAATCCCAACTGGATTCTTTGCAGAAATTGACAAGCTTACCCTAACATTCATATGGAAATTCAAGGGACCCATGATAGCTAATACAATCTTAAAAAAAAAAAAGACCAAAGTTGGAGTTGCCTTAATCTCTTCAGTTTAAGAAATCTGAAATCATAGGCCATTATATTATGAATCATTGATTTAAACCAAGGAAATTTAATTGGAGATCAGTCTTCCTAAAATATAACCTTCATGAGGGCAAGGACCATATCTGTTTTGTTCTCTATTGTATTTCCAGTGCCTGGCACGAAATTGGCACTCAATTAATATTTACTAGATAAATTAATAATCAGAATAATAGCCGATCCAGTGGTTTTCAAACTTAAAAGTGCATCAGAATCACCTAGAAAGCTTATTTTATTTTTATTTTTATTTTTTTTTTACCTAGAAAGCTTATTAAAACACAGATTGCTAGGCCTCACCCAAGCCTTTCTGATTCAGTAGGCCTAGGGTGGGGACAAAGATTTTACATTTTTAAGAAGTTCCCAGGGGATGCTGATACCATCTAGCACAGTGCCTGGCACATAGTAGGCATGCAATTAATTAGAGTAGTCGAAAGAATAAATGTATAAACAGACACTTAACAAATACTTATTAAATTGAATTTTACTTTCTGAAATGGAAAAGAGGATGGAGTTGAACCCCCTTCCCTGCCCTTTTGGGAAAACAAATGGAAAGATTTTTACCCCCATATATGAAGTTGATTTATACTTATTTTAGTTCTTGATTCATTTGTTTATCTTTTCAGTCAGTCAGTATATGTCATGACTTATGTAACAGCACACTCAAAGCACTTGTGATTGGTATATAATATAACAGCAGTTACCAGAAAAGACGGTGACATCAAATCTATACCCAAGGGATGACCACCACTGGACTATAAAAAAAAAAAATTGAGAAAATAAGATTTTAAAAGAGATGAGGCAAGGCAAACATTCTTTGTGTTTTTAAAAGTTATTAGTAGAGTAAAATTACAGACAATTCATGTCCCTAGCCAGCATGTTATTTAAAAAGCTGATAAATAGCCTTACTCTAGGGGGAAAAAACCAACAACAAACTATGTTTAAAAATATTTTTTCCATGATCAGAAAAAAGGGTATTGGTGAGTGGTAGAGAAAAGGACTTAAACAATACAAAATACCAGAGAGGCAGGTAAGGATGGAAATCAATAATTAGAAATTAGAAAGTAATGAACATTTAGGGCTCTCAATCCTTGAAATTACAGTCCTAATGATCCGGGCTCTTACAGTCCTATAGGTAGTGGATGTGTAAAAAAAGAATTAAATGATATAGCTGGATAGGTCAAGTTCTTAATATCATAGTAATCTAGCTGGGAACATGGACTTCAAGTTCTAAACATATAATGAACTTGTAAGTAATACTGTGTGACTATAAACAACTGTAAAATGTTTAACCAATCACCCTTGGCCAAAACAGGGATTGTTTACCAACATCAGTTTAACTCTTCAGTATGAAGCATAGTTCTTTCACCTTTCAGATAGGAAAATGTTCAGATTATCCAAATATTCTGTGAAAAAACATGTAGTAGTGAACATTTTTCTATTACAAAGCCCTTTCTTAGTCCATTCAGTTCTTGCCCTTGCATAATATAAATCTGAAAAGTTTCCTTCAAATTGAACTTCAAGCATTGGCTTCATTCTTGTCCTAAATGGTTTGGACTCCTACAAAACCCCAAACAAATAAAATTTCCATTTGGCCTCTCCTCCTCTGGATGGGCTTTAATTCTTCAAGCTACTGTAAATCAATTTTGAAGGCAGGAGGAGTAGTTTTAAGATTTTCATAAAAAGCGCTACTAGGGGAGACCAACTCAGTACCTTCTCAACTCAGAGACCCTGAAATCACATGATTTCCCAGAGTTTTGAAAGAAGCTATGGAAGCTTATGTTAAGTATTTCATCGTAGAGCACAAAAATTTGCCTATTCTCATCTGCAGGGTAAGAGGCGACCAAAAAAAAAAAAAAAAAAAAGAGTAAGAGGCTACAGTATGATATTTGAGGACTCCTACCAACTCCAGGGTGATTTAGATGTTTCTTCCTCTATGTGTCCATACACTTTTTGTCTACCTCTATCATGACAATGATAAAAATCTAATTTGGGGACAATGCCTGAAAGTAGATTTTTAAAAAGGCTCTCACCTAATCTGGTGTTCTCTCTAGTACCTGTTCTTAAAAGTAAGGAATTGAAGTCTAGTTTCATAAAGAAAATTAAGTCCAAAATTACATGTTAATTCTAACAAGAGGAATTCAGGGTTTTATATTCTTATTATCCGAAACAAATTACTTCCCTCCTAAAATTAGCAAAATAGTTTGGTCCAGAAAAGGAAAGCCATCTGTAAAATGAATGCTATGAAGGAGAATCAAACAAGCTGCTGTGTGGTTTGTTATCTTATTTGTAAAAAGGCCATGAACTCATGCATGTCATATACATGCCTAAAGGTAGGTTAAATTATGTTAAAGGGTCCCTAGTTGTTTCACCTGACTCTCAGTTGAGATAGATAGTCTATGAAATTCCACCTGAAAAAAAAATGTCTCTGATTAAATGCAGGATATGAAACAAAATAAATGATCCCAACAAAGTCTGATTCCAAAAGAATGTTCTTGAGCATGACAATATCCCAGCTCATCTCCCAAGATATCCCAAGATGTCTTACCTGCTTTATCTCACTTTTTAACTGCATTATCCCAGTTCGTTCTGTTTTGGTTGCCCCAACAGCACCAATCTCGTGGATAGAAATAGCAGGGCTAACATTTGAATCGGTGGGACGAACTATATAGCATGACAGGTTAAAGAGAAAGAGAGGATAATCAGGTTCCAATTATTTTGCTCCACCACACTTAAAAGACTTAGATATGTGTCCTCCTTTTATATTAATAATAATCAAAAGTAACCAACCAACTATAACCTTGCTATTCAAAGTGTGGTCTATCAGCATCACCTAGGAGCTTGTTAGTAGAATCTTGGGTCACCCTCCAGGCCATCAGTTTGCATGTTAGCGAGTTCCCCAGGTGATTCTTATGCACAGTAAGGCTTGAGAAGCACTGCTTTATAACTTTCTTTTACCACTCTGGGGTCTAGTATCCATCGTCTGACATTATATATTTATTTTATCCTAAGCCTAAAAGTTGAGCATGAGAGATAACCTTTTTAATTTGCCCTGTTTTAGGTAACTTATACCAAATACCACTGCCAAACCACCAAGTGCAGGTGGAGGATTAATTTGTGACGGACCCCAAGATGTGTCTGAATTCAAAGGTGAAAGGATATGTCAGATGCACTGTAACAACTACATACACATAGACACATCACTGTAAATGCTACTGAATTACTGTCAAATGGAATACAAGAAAGTTTCAAGTTATATGGGTTGTTAGTTGTCCTAAAGTGTAGATTTAGGATAATGTAAAGGAATAGATAGTTCAAAACAAAACATGGTAGCAATCCACTTAGGTGATATATCATTTAAGGAGAAAAAAGAGACATACAGTAGTTTCCAAATTTTGTTCCAGAAGACAGCTTTGCTTTTAACTGTTGCATATAATGGGGTTCTATTTAGTTGGGGGAAAGGTTCCTCTGATAAAAGAAAAACATTTTAAAATCAATGAAATGAAACTAACACTCTGAAATGGAAATGCCATTACTCAAATCTTACCACTTCGTTCCACTCCAAACTCTTTGCCACTGAGAATGTGATGCAGGAGGTTCTTCAAGGCCGAAGGACTGAGATTCATTAGGCTGTCTGTGGCTTCCTCAGCTAGTCATCAGAAATGTTAGGACATTGTTAGTGTATAGAAATGCAACTGATTTCTGTGCATTGATTTTGTATCTTGCCACGCTGCTGAATTCCTGTATGAGTTCTAGCAATTTTGGGGTGGAGTCTTTTGGGTTTTCCACGTAGAATGTCATGTCATCTGCAAAGAGTGAGAGTTTGACTTCTTTGCCAATTCGGACGCATTTTATTTCTTTTTGTTGTCTGATTGCTGAGGCTAGGACTTCTAGTACTATGTTGAACAATAGTGGTGAGAGTGGACATCCCTGCTGTGTTCTTGACATTAGGAGAAAAGCTCTCAGTTTCTCCCTGTTGAGGATGATATTCACTGTGGGTTTTTCACATATGGCTTTTATGATATTGAGGTATGTTCCCTCTATACCTACACTATAGAGAGTTTTAATCAAGAAAGGATGCTATAGTCTGTCAAATGCTTTTTCTGCATCTATTGAGAGGATCATATGGTTCTTGTCCTTTCTTTTCTTTTCTTTTTTTAAATATTTTATTTATTTATTTGAGAGAGACAGAGATAGTGAGAGAGAGCTCGAGCAGGAAGGAGGGGGAGGAGCAGGCTTCCCGCGGAGCAGGGAGCCCGATGCGGGGCTCGATCCCAGGACCCCGGGATCATGACCTGAGCCGAAGGCAGAGGCTTAACCATCTGAGCCACCCAGGCACCCCCTTTCTTTTATTAATATGGTGTATCACGTTGATTGGTTTGCGAATGTTGAACCACCCTTGGCGCAAAGGCAAGGGAAGCAAAAGCAAAAATGAACTATTGGGACTTCATCAAGATAAAATGCTTTTGTACAGCAAAGGAAACAGTCAACAAAACTAAAAGACCATCTACAGAATGGGAGAAGAAGATATTTGCAAATGACATATCAGATAAAGGGCTAGTATCCAAAATCTATAAAGAACTTATCAAACTCAACTCCCAAAAAACAAATAATCCAGTCAAGAAATGGGCAGAAGAGGTGAACAGACATTTCTCCAAAAAGACATACAAATGGCCAATATACACATGAAAAAAATGCTCAACATCCCCCAGCACCGGGGAAATACAGATCAAAACCACAATGAGTGGGGCGCCTGGGTGGCTCGGTAGGTTAAGTATCTGCCTTCGAGTCAAGTCATGATCTCAGGGTCCTGGGATCAAGCCCTGAGTCGGGCTCCCTGCTCAGTGGGGAGGCTGCTTCTCCTTCTCCCTCTGCCCCTCCCCCCACAACTTGTGCGCTCTCTCTCTCTCTCTGAAATAAATAAAATCTTAAAAAAAAAAAACAAACCACAATGAGATACCACCTCACACCAGTCAGAATGGCTAAAATTAACAAGTCAGGAAACAACAGATGTTGGTGAGAATGTGGAGAAAGGGGAACCCTCCTACACTGCTGGTGGGAATGGAAGCTGGTACAGCCACTCTGGAAAACAGTATGGAGGTCCCTCAAAAAATTGAAAATAGAGCTACCCTTTGATCCAGCAATTGCACTATGGGTATTTATCCAAAGGATACAAACATGGTGATTCGAAGGGGCACCTGCACCCCAATGTTTACAGCAGAATTATCAACAATAGCCAAATTATGGAAAGAGCCCTAATGTCCATCAACCAATGAATGGATAAAGAAGTGGAATATATATATAATGGAATATTACTCAGCCATCAAAAAGAATGAAATCTTGCCATTTGCAATGATGTGGATAGAGCCAGGGAGTATTATGCTAAGTGAAATAAGTCAGAGAAAGACAAATACCATATGATTTCACTCATATGTGGAATTTAAGAAACAAAACAGATGAACACAGGGGAAAAAGAGAGAGAAAACAGACTCTAAAGAACAAACTGAGGGTTACTAGAGAGGATGGATTAAATGGTGATGGGCATTAAGGAGTACACTTGTAGTGATGAGCATTGGGTGTGGTATGTAAGTGATGAATCACTAAATTCTAGACCTGAAACTAATATTACACTGGATGTTAACTAACTGGAATTTAAATAAAAACTTGAAAAAGATAAAAAATAATCACAGTTATTAAGAGCTTACTACATGTAGGTCATAACTTTAAACAATGTTAGTAACAAACAGTTATGACATGTACTTGACCTTGAAAAGCTGAACAGCTATTTGGGACAGATTACATATGTAAACAAGATAAACCATAATAAAACATGTTAGTACTAAGTACCAAATGAGAAGTATAGACAATAAATGCTTTGGAAATCAGAGGAGACATCAATCTCCAAGGATGGTGACTGATAAAATTAGTGGGAAATACTGTGAAAGTAGGAGGTAAGATTGTTGAGGTTTTGAATATCAGAACCAGGGATCTTGACTTTATTGTATGAGAAGTAAAGGGCCTTGGTTTTGATGAAGCCACAGGGAAAAAAAGATCAGTAATAGGCAATTAAAGGAAAGTGAAGAATGTTTGGTTTTTTTTTCTTTGTTGAGGTTTATTATTAAATAATTAGACCCTAATAAAACATCCCTGCATACCATAGCTAGAGAATATATATATGTGTATATACAGACATATGTGTGTGTGTGTGTGTGTATAATGCAATACATGTAATCCATAACAATGTGCTAAACTGGAAATCATTTGGAATCAGGCAGACTTGGACTCAAATTGTACTATTTACTAGGCAAGTAAAGTTACTATGTAACTTTAGGCAAGTTATTTAATCTCTCTGAGATTCGGATGATTTATTTAAAAGAGGAACAAAAATATCTTCTCCAGAGGGTAGTCATAAGGATTAAATGAGATAATGTTTGTAAATATAAAGCAAAAAAGCACAGAGTCTGACATATGGTAGATAGAACATAATCATTCGCTCTTTTCCTTCAAAGGGTTATTTTAATATAAATTATCTTATGTAATTCAGGTTAGACTCAAGCCAATAAATTTAGCTACTTGTTAATAGCTCAATTAAAAGCCTTTCGGGGAAAGGTAACAGAAGTAATGGCTAAAATTGAGTTTTGCAACTCTAATTTCATTTTTGTATGCAATCTCTATCTCTATTTAATTTTACCATTCTTATTGAAATCAAACAAATACCAATGGAAAAAAATAGTCACGCCACGGGGGTCCCTTTCCCTCCCTCACACTTTGTACAATTTTGTGCTGCAGCTTCCACAGGCCCCCGCTTTTCTTCTAACTAAACCTGTTACCTTGCCAAATACACCTACAGTTAATTTCAAAGAGAGTCCTGTCAGGTAAATATCAATAGAAATAGGGTGTTCCTTTATTTGATCCTGTTGTTGACTAGACAGAATACTGACAATATGATCAAACTGATGTGGCGACTTAATCTGGGGTCAAGAAGCTGCACTACCAGGGCGCCTGGGTGGCTCAGTGGGTTAAGCGTCTGCCTTTGCCTCAGGTCATGATCCCGGGGTCCTGGGATCCAGCCCCGCATTGGGCTCCCTGCTCAGCGGGAATCTTGCTTCTCCCTCTCCCTCTGCCTGCCGCTCCCCCTGCTTGTGCTCTCTCTGACAGATAAATAAATAAAATCTTAAAAAAAAAAAGAAGCTTCACTGCTTGAGTCAGAATGAAACCCAGTCTGTCCCACTCAAATTCGATGCACACTTAGGCTCACGCTAGGAGTTGGAAGGCATGTAATTTGGAGTGCAGAGCCCCCAAGAGGTGGAATTGTGAAGTTGCAGAACGAATACATAAATCTGTCATAACACCAGTCTCGTGGTTTGTATAAATAGAGGTTGACTGTACACAGCTTCTGAGCTACTGATAAAATGTTTTCTCTTTCTTTGCCTCCTGATCCCAAACTCAATAGCCCTACATTAAAAGTGAATTCTGCCAAAAATAGTTACTGAAAGGAGTACCTGAGCATCGAAGGGAGTGGGCCAGTTCTGTTGCCATAACTTGTATGATTAGACCAATTCGAAGTCGAAACATTTCAGCAAAGAGGCCAGGCTGAGTTCGCATATACATGGCTAGATATACCATTATTTCCTGTGCATGGAATGAATATAGAAACAAATATGGTCCAGGTCTCACAAAGCCTACCTGGTAGGCTTTGGAAACTGCCAGATCAATTGAAAACAAAAATATCAATCACCATTTTAGACATCATAATTCTGCTCACCTGTGTAAGGATTGAGATGCTCATGTCCCCTTCACTGGCTTCATCTATCAGCTGAGTGAGCACTTCATAGGGCAGAGGTCTGAGGGAGAAGACCGCGAAGAAAGACAAAATTCTGTGACTATTTAAGCTTAAATACACGGAGAATATAAAAAATCTCCTCCCAGCTCCAAGTCACCGCTTCAACGTCCCATCATAGCTGGTAGCATTTGGTTCTTTCAGTCTTTAAAGTTCATTGCCTCCCCAAACCACTTTGGCCTATATCAACTCAGGAGAGCTCTACCCTCTCCTCTCTAAAGCTGGATTGCCCTTCTCCTTCAAACTTTTATTTAAAACTCACCCCATGAGGTCCTTCCAGATCAGTCTTTCATGGTTAATTCTTAACATATGACAAGTAACTATTATGGCCAGAAAGTAATAAACTTAATTTAAGCTGTGCCTTCTGGAAACCATTTTATTACTTTATGATCACACCTTAGTTACATTGATTTTCTAGTTTCATCAGTTTACACACACACACACACACACACACACACACACACACAGGGGTATGCCGACCTCTTCCCATACTTCTGACTCTCCTGTTGATACTAAGCACTCTGGAGGAATGGGGCTTGGACAATGCCATCTTCTTTTGGATTGCCACAGTAGTGGCAAAAATTGATCTGATTTGTGATAAGAAGGTTCTGTTTGCTCAGAGTAAGGCACTATGTTGAATTATGTCTTGTCAAAGTTCATATATTGAAATCCTAGCCCAGAGTCCCTCAGAGTGTGACCCCATTTGGAGATGAGGTTTTTACAGAGGTAACTGAGTTAGAGTAAGGTCATTGTGTGCCCTAAACCTTTATGCCTAGTGTTCTTACATAAAAATTTGGGAAATTTGGACACAAAGACACATATAGAGGGAAGAAATGTGAAGAGACATAGGGAGCAAACAGCCACCTAAAAGCCAAAGAGAGAGGCCTGGAAGAAAGTCTAGAGTATAGCGGATTTTTTGTGGGTGCTAATTCTAGTTGCCCGCCCTGTTTTGGACTGCTTTTGGATGTGAGGTTTGGGAAAGAGGGTAAGTAAAAAACAAGCACAAAAACAAAAACCATCACCACCACCACCACCACCACCACCACCACCAAAAAACCCCGTAAAATGCAAACTCCATTTGCGTACTACTTCTTGTGGATTTACTCTTTCATTTACTCATGCCCTGTCATTATCAACATTCTCATGCCAAGTGTCTCTGACAGAAGCCCACACAGGTAGGCCCTTATCATCCAGTGACAGATTAGGGCAAGAGAACTGTGGTCAGTCCACACAGCTCCTGAAAGGCTCAGAGAAGCTTGATCAAACCCAACCAAAAACCATACTCACGCAGAGATGGTCTTCTCTCGAGGTTCTGGAGGGAGTCCCACTGTCAAATGTTTCTGGTGGGAGAGAAGAGCTGTGCAGGCCTAAGAAGAGATAGCATAACAGCATTATCCTTCCCATAACACCTCAGCTTTCCATGACAGTTATTCTTCTCAGTCCACAGACCTTTGCTTCCCCTTAATTTATTGACACACCAAACCCTCTTTCTCAGGAAATACCATGTAGATCAGAAGAGAGAGATTTTTAAGAAGAAACAATGAGGTATCTTTATCTCCTAAGAGGTAAGAACTTCTAGCCTACTGCAAATTCTTTCTTGAGCTGTAGAATTCTTATCGTTTATAACATCTTATCATTTATAAACTTCAGTATTGTATATTTGACATTCACAAACAAAAAGCTAATTGAATATCAGGAACTTTATGCGGGAAAGACAACATCTCAAATGATTAGATGCTCTGGTTGCCTTAAAAACCAATTATGGAAACCAATTTTTAAAAAGCACCTCCATTTAGACTTGGTATAAATTCAAGAAGAATTTATAGTACCTCATCAAGTGCTTCCACCTTCTTTCTTAAGATTCCCGAGATGTATCGGATCAGGCCCCAGTGACGAATTTCTCCAACTTTGCCATACAGTTCAGTAAGCAGCTCTCGGACTGTCGTACCCACTTCATCATATAATTCAGTGTCCCAGTCTGGTCCTCTGGAATGTTAAAGAAAGGCCTATGTTAATTATAAGTAAAGCTGCTGGCAACAATCATTTGTTTCAGTGTTATAATGAATGTGACTGTTTTTGATAGGTCTCTCTCATTAGGAAATAAATGTATTTTTACCAAGAATCCTTGTAAATCCATGATTAGTAGTCAGCTCTGAAACCCAAATACCTAGACAAGAACAAGTCTTAGTTTCAGCTGTGCTTTGACAAAATGCATTCTTTTACCCTCTTCACAGGCTTCAACATAGCTGAAAATAAAGTCAAAGACTTAATTTAACTATTGAAAGTTCAGAAAGGGGCGCCTGGGTGGCTCAGTCGTTAAGTGTCTGCCTTCGGCTCAGGTCATGATCCCAGGGTCCTGGGATCGAGTCCCACATTGGGCTCCCTGCTCAGCAGGAGGCCTGCTTCTCCCTCTCCCACTCCCCCTGCTTGTGTTCCTGCTCTCGCTGTCGCTCTCTCTGTCAAATAAATAAATAAAATCTTAAAAAAAAAATTAAAAAAAAAAAGAAAGTTCAGAAAGTATGCTACACTTAGGAAACTAAGAGAGATAAAAGGAAAGGATGTGTGCTTATTTGTAAAGGATGCATATACATTATTGTTGTAAAGATTACTATAACACAAGTCAACCGTGAAGTATCATAAAATACATGTAAAGTGCTACGAAATTGAGAATTTAATTTATGATGAAGGTAGATTATTTATTAAACAACGTTAAGACAATCAAGTAGCCATCTGAAAAAGAAGCTGGATTCATGCCTTACACTGAACATCAGAATTCCAGATATATCAAAGATTTAAATGTAAAGGTACTAGAAAAAATATGGGAGAACTACTTTATAACTTTGGGGGCAAGAGGACTGTTTAACTATAACCTATGCACAAGAAGCCATAAAAGAAACAGTGATGCATTTATATACATAAAAACAACAAAATTCATACTGCAGAAAACCACTGTAAGCCAAGTCATAGGACAAATTACAAACAGAAAAATATTTGCAATTCATAGGCCAATTTCCCTAATATATAAAGAACTTCAACAGGGGCGCCTGGGTGGCTCAGTTGGTTAAGTGTCCAACTCTTGATTTCAGCTCAGGTCATGATCTCTGGGTCATGAGATTGAGCCCCACGTTGGGCTCCACGCTCAGCGGGAGTCTCCTCATTCTCTCTCCCTCTCCCTCTGTCCCTCACCCCGCTCATGCTCTCTCTCTCAAAGGAAGAAAGAAAGAAAGAAAGAAAGAAAGAAAGAAAGAAAGAAAGAAAGAAAGAAAGAAAGAAAGAAAGAACGAACTGCAACAAATATAGAAAATTAAAAAAAAGAAACAAAAGACACAAAAGAAAATGTCAAATACTGATGGATTTTTTATTTTTTTAAAAAGATTTTATTTATTTATTTGAAAAAGAGAAAGAGAGAGAGAGAGCACGAGCGGGAGGGAATGGCAGAGGGAGAGGGAGAAGCAGGCTCCCCTTTAAGTAGGGAGCCTGACTCAAGGCTGGATCCCAGGACCCTGAGATCATCACCTGAGCTGAAGGCAGATGCTTAACCTACTGAGCCACCCAGGTGCCCCAATACTGATGAATTTTAAATATAGGAAAAGGTGTTTGATCTCATGCATAGTAAGAAAAATTAAAATTAACACTACACCAAGATAACACTTCTTAAAATCTATCATGTTGTCAAAAATTTCCAAATTTGATAACACTGCATTGGTAAAGTTTTGGGAAAATAGGTACTCTTGATATATTGGTGGTGGGAGTGAAAATTGGGACAATCTCTCTGGAGAGCTATTTGGAAAAATATATTAATATTAAAAATCTCTATATTCTTTGATCTAGGAATTTTAATTCTGGCATATCTGTAGGATAGACTCCACACATGAGAAATGATATATGCCATGAGGTTATTTGCTATAGCATTGTTTGTGATAGTGAATGATGGGAAACAACCCAAATGTCCCTCAATAGGAGACTGGTTAAACAAATTATGGTATGTTCAAACAATGGAATGCTATGGAACTATTAAGAAAATATGATGTAGATCTAGATTGTGACAGATTGTATGTTTTAACCTGAATCAAATAATGTTCCATCTAACACGCTCTTCTTTCAGGGTGACTTTTACAGTCCTCCCGTGAAGAAGGTGGGTCTGTGTTCCCTCCCCTTCAACCCAGGCATGCTTGTGACTAAGTTGAAAGTGCGGCTGTATGATTTCTGAAGCTAGGTCATAAACGTTAAGGCATCTTCCACTTGGTCCTTTGATGGGGCACATACTCTTGGAACCTAGACATCAGGCTCTGAGGAAGTAGAGAGACACATGGGGGAGGTCATTTGTAGGTGTTCTGGGTGACAGCCCCACGTGAAGTGCCAGTCAACAACCAGTATGAACCCCTAGATATATGACTGGACAACCTCATGGTGACTTCAGCCCCAGATGCTGTCGGACCACAACTGAAGAGATCCCAAGTGAGAACTGCCTAGCTGAGCTTGGACGAGCTCCAGAACTGTGACAGATAATTTAAATACTTTTTGCTTTTATTATCTTAAGCCACTGAGTTTTTGGGTTATTTGTTAAGCAGTCATAGATGAATGGGATATATATGTAATGAATTTCAAGATAAATAGTTTTAGTGAAAAAAAAGCAAGGTACAGAACAGTGTATATACTATGCTTCCATTTGGTGAAACAGGTGTAAAATTATACACATATATGCTTTATTTACCTACATATGCATAAATTGTTCCTGGATGGATACACAAAAAACCAATAACACTGATTGCCTGGGAGTTGGGAAACCAGGTATCTGGGGACCAGAGGTGGAAGAAAGACTTTTTATCCTTTCCCTGTATCCTTTTGTACTTTAAAAAGTTTGAGCCATGATAATGTATTATCTATTCAATATACTAAATTATAGTAAATATATACTATATATAATGTATTTAATATGCTTAATGTATTAAAAATAAATATGAATTTAATATGTTAAATATATTTTTAAAAACACAAAATAAAAAGTACCATAGGAAGAGTCAATAATGGATTAAAAAAAACAGTGAATGCAAGTTTGAAGAGTAACAGGATATTTAGTTTCAAAGTATATCTCCACAAGATACTTTTCAATTACAAAGTGCAACCCCAAAACTTTAGAGTGGAGGAATGTGGAAAATACTACCTTAACCAAGTGATAAAACCAGCAATGGGACTCATCAACATTATGTGCCCTCTTGATATGACACACTGAGAAGAACTCAGCATGACTTCAGTGGTATTCCTGCCAAAAATGCATAACCTGAATTTATTTATGAGAAAACACCAACTGAACCAAAATTTAGGGACATTCTGTAAAAATAATTCATCTGTATGCTTCACAAATGCCAATAACATGAAAAATAAAGGCTCAAGAACTGTTCCAGATTAAAGGGGACTGGGGACACACGAGAGTTGAATGAAATGTGTAATTTAGATTTTTTTTCGCTGTAAAGATATTACTGGGACAACTGGCAAATATAGTCTGTAGATTAGATAATAGCATTGTTTTTTTTTTTTAAAGATTTTATTTATTTATTTGTCAGAGAGAGGGCACAAGCAGGGGGAGCGGCAGGCAGAGGGATAAGCAGACTCCCCACTGAGCAGGGACCCCCTACGTGGGACTTGATCCCAGGACCCTGGGATCATGACCTGAGCCAAAGGCAGATGCTTAACTGACTGAGCCACCCAGGCATCCTGATAATAGTATTGTTCTAACATTAATTTTCTTTTTTTTTTTTAAAGATTTTATTTATTTATTTGACAGAGAGATAGAGAGAACAAGTAGGCAGAGAGGCAGGCAGAGGGAGAGGGAGAAGCAGGCTCCCCACTGAGCAGGAAGCCCGAAGCGGGGCTCGATCCCAGGACCCTGGGATCATGACCTGAGCCGAAGGCAGCCGCTTAACCGACTGAGCCACCCAGGTGCCCCAATTTTCTTTTTTTTTTTTTAAAAAGATTTTATTTATTTAGAGAGTGTGCATGAGTGGGGGAGGGGCAGAGGGAGAGAGAGAGAGAATCTCAAGACTCTGTGCTGAGCAGGGAGCCCAACGTGGGGCTCCATCTCAGAACCCTGAGATCATGACCTGAGCTGAAATCAAGAGTTGGACACTCAAACAAATGCACCACCCAGGTGCCCCTAATTTTCAGATTTTCGCAAATGTACTGTGCTTATGTAAGAGAATTCCTAGTCTTTAGGAAATACACAATACACACTCAAATACTTAGGGGTAGAAGGGGATCAGGTCTGCCACTTACTCTCAAATGATTCAGAAAAACATATGTATGTGATGATGATGATGATGACAGAGAGAATGAGAGAGAGAGAGAGAGAGAGAGGGAAATTAAACCTGAGGAATCTGGATGAAGGATATCCATAAATTTTTTTTGTACTATTCTTACAACTTTTCTCTAAGTTTGAAATGGTCAAAATAAAAATAGATAAATGAATAATATTAAAGGACATGCTTTGAGATCTCACAGTCAGGGATGAACCTTTTCATTCCTAGAGATTAGAGAAAGCTTTTTGGAGATGACAGATGAACTAGGCCTTGATGGACAGCTAGAATTCCAACAAGGAGAGATGGGGTGTGGTAAAGGAGAGTAGTCCAGGCAGAGGGAAGAACATGAGCCAAGGTGTGAAAGTCATCATGTATAGGCTGTGTACAGTGGGCTATTTTGGTGAAAGTATTCACACTGTGACGGGGGAGCAATAGTAGATAAAGGTTGAAAGTCAGATCACAGAGGATGTATTTGGCCACTGATTCCCAATGGTGGTGGTGATGTTGCAGGGAGAGGCAGGGGATGAGGACGAGTTGAAGATGATGACACAATTTCAAGTCCGGGTGACTAAAAGAATGACGACACTATGAACATCGTCAGGAAGTAGTAGGTTTCTGATAAAGACAGTGAACTGGAGTTTAGATATGCTGAGTAAGAAGACATATATAAATTCCAAGTAGAATTAAAGACATAAAAATTTCTTTTTTAAAAAAGATTGTATTTATTTGAGAGAGAGAGAGAGGGGGAGAGAGAGAGATAGAGAGCACAGTGGGGGGGGGAGGGGCAGAGGGAGAGGGAGAAGCAGACTCCCTGCTGAGCTGGGAGCCCTATGCAATTCAGGGCTTGATCCCAGGACCTGAGCCCAAGGCAGACGCTTAACTGACTGAGCCACCCAGGCTCCCCGACATAAAAATTTCTTTAAAAATTATTAAAGGTATTTAAAATATTTTTTAAATTCTGGGAGGGGATGCATGACAAGAAACCCAAGAGCCAAAAAGGAAAAGACTGACAGATTTGATGGTATAAAAACTAAACTTCTGCATAGAGAAAGGCATATAAATAGTTAGCAAATTAGTTGGACGAAATATCTGCAACAAGTATAATAAACAAAATAGTAATATCTAATATCAATAAGAAAAATAAAAATAACTCAATATAGAACAAACAAAGGTTATAAACGGACAATTTGCAGAAGGAATGCTAATCAACAGAGATACGAAACCCCACCTCCCAACTTCTACTCTTAAATCCACGAGGGATATTGGGCAGAATTCCAAGTGTATTAAAACCCATGCAGCACATCATATACACTCTGCCCAAGTGGTTTGACATTACCTGGAATACTAGTTTTAGGGAGACTGCAGGTTCAATCAGATGTTATGGTGAAGTTAGTAATACAGGATTAGATAAAGAAAACCCATGCTAGGAACAGAAGAGTTGGCAGTCAACCCTGGATCATCTGAATTGGTGGGAAAGTATGAGCTTCTCATGTACAACTCCCTTTGTTTGCTCATATCAGCTACCTGACTGAATCTTCAGTTTTCATTCAAGCTACACTCATTCTGTCCTTACCCTTTATCTCGTTTTACCTTCTCTATCTCTTCATTATTTTGTATTTAGCCTTGTGCCTGGCACATAATAAGCACTCAACAGGTATTTGTTGAATAGAGTGCCTTACCCTAAGGGAAGAACGAAAGAAACAGAGGTGTCATGTCATGTCATTTTTTGGGCGGTAGCACATAACAAGGCTTATTGGGTGGCACTTAGGGTTGTATGAGAAGGGAAGTCCCTCAGAGCAGAAGACTGTCCAGAGGCTTATCTAGGGCACCAGCTGTACCATCCAGAAGGGGTGGAGCGCAAGGGAACTCCCAGGGGAGAGGGGAACAGGAAGTTACATGCCTAGGTGATGTGGGGATTCTCTCGGTTAGAGAGCAATGAATGGCAGCAGTGGTTTGGGGTATTCGGGGCCCCATTTTAGTTGCTTCTTATTGGCAGATGTGGAGTAAGTTTCAAGGAGTATGCGAAGGAGGCAGGCCCCAAATGGCTAAAAATATGTTTGGGCTACTTTTGATACAATGGAATGGTGTAAAAAATTAATTCTGGGGCTGGTGGGCTTTTCAGCTGTCTTTGTCACTTACTCGTTAACCAGCACGATCTGATGGAAGCAGCATGGGCTCTGGAGTCAGACAGACCCCGGGGGACTTCATTACCGCCTAGAGGGCATGGAAGTCCCAGATCCCTACTTGGTCTTCTTTGACCCCACCGTGGCAGTAGGGGAAGGTGGAGCAGTGCCTCCTTTGTTACAGTAGGGCCAGAGTGGATGTCTGGGCTTTGCACTCAGTCCTTGTGGACAGGGGCGGGGCTGCAGATTTTTCTATGGTAGGAGTGGTTATTGTCTAAAAGTTGTTGGTCTTGCTAGTCTGCCCTTTCCTGGTCCTTTGTCTAGAAGGAACAGGTTTTTCTGAGGGCTCCTGTCGTCTGTGCCCATCGGCATTTTCAGGGTGCTGGCTTCTCCAGCATCTGATACAGGATATATGAGGCAACAAAGAAAACCCAGGTACATCACCACCTTGTCAGTCCTCAGGTCCTGAGGTCCTTAACCAGTCTGTCTTCTTCTTTCCACCTTTTAACACCTTGTTATGTTTGTTTTATAAATAATGTCCTCTTGTACTTAGCAGGAGGAACAGAGAGAGAGATGCATTTATCTCTCTTGTCTGGAATCAGAAGTCCCATTGTGGTTATGTTTTAAGAGCTTCACTGACTTTTAGAAATAATACTGAAATATTCAGGAATGAAATGATAAAACCTCTGGTCTCTTTTTCAAAATACTCTGGGAGAGAGCGAGAATATAGATGTGACAAGATTAACCATGTGTTTATAATTGCTCAGGCTGGGTGATGGGTCCCCGAGGGTTCATTATGCTAGTCTCTCTATTTTTGTATAAATTTACGTTCTATCCTAGAAAGTAAAAAAGAAAAGTTACTCTCCCTCCTCTGTGGAGGCTGGGCTTGAGGAGAACAGGGTGGAAATAGGAAGACTTGTTAGAAAGCCATAGCAATAGTCCTGGTGAGAGACAAAGATGTGAGTGAAAGCAGCCATGCTAGTGATGCAGAAGGTAAACATTTAGAGGTAAAACTGAATAACCTTGGTGCTTAACTGGACATGGGGTGAAGCTTGCTGATTAGGCAGGTATTGGTTTCAACCACAAGGATGTAGAATTTCAGAATGCGACTCCACTTTTAATGTTTGACTACCGACCGCTTCCAAGTCCTACCGCTCCTCTTTCTCTTCCGGCCTATACCTGGGCATGGTGTCAGGGAAATCCAAGTGTTCCCTCCTTTGGTGCTGGTGAGAACCTTTACCTCAGCCTCACTTCCTAATCATAATAAAACCCCAATGCAGACTCCTTTCCCTGCTCACTTATGCTTTTTTTTTGACCAGCTTGGGAATCTGTTCCACTCTCCCCAGAAGTCTCATTATGTGAGTAATAAACATTTTACACTCTTTTGGTACATGGGTGGCATCATCAGTCTCAACATCCAAACCAAATTTAGGGGAGGGAAGCCCATCCTGCCTCTTCAGGTTGACGACTACATGAATAAATGAGGAAGTTCAGGTTATATTTGGGGGGAAGCGAGGGATAGGAGAGAGTTTAATTTGGGTATACTGAGTTTGAGGTATAAATACCTAGCAGGGTTCCGGACACATAGCAAATACTCAGAAATGCTAGTTTATTGTTTCCTGTAAGCCTCCATGTTCATACTTCTTTTGAGTTAAGAATTTATTTATTTGTGGATTTTTACCAAGTAACAGAGGCTTGAAATAACCATAAATAACCATAATAATGATAATAATAGTTAGCAGTTATTGGTCACCTACTATGTACCAGGCATTGTATTAGAGACTTTGCAGATACTATATCTTGTTTAATCTCTACAAGTTCTGTGAGTATAGGTATAATCCAAATTTTCTAAATGATAACAACTGAGGCTTGAGGCTACACAGTGGGTAGGTTGCAAAATTCAAATCCAGGTCAATGAGACTCCAAAGCTGTGCTGTATTTACTATGTTTTACTTCCTCTCTACATGAACATGAAAGGAGACTGAGAATATTTATCACTTACTTCATAGTATACAGCATGTAAAGGATGTCAGCTTGCTCCTGTAAGCTGGAGGTCTCCTTCAACTGTAAAACCAGTGCTTTGAAGTTCACCTCCCCAGACTGGTCTCTAGGAAGATGTATTTCTACACGAACAGAGGGAACCTTTAGTTTGAGAAAGGACAATAAATAAATAAATAAATAAGTCCACAAGTGCTCAACTTAAATAATGCCCTAGAGTGTTGATCTTTTCACCTCTAAACCTTTTCTATAACAATTCCCTAAATTTTGATGAGAAGTAAAACAAAACAATGAAACCTTCAAAATGAATGATGTAGCAATTTAGTTTTCTTAGATCCTGGCTAGAAAAGTTTGCTGGAGGGGAAAGGGGTGGGGGGAATGGGGTAACTGGGTGATGGACATTGGGGAGGGTATGTGTTGTAATGAGCACTGGTTATTATATAAGACTGATGAATCACAGACCTGTACCCCTGAAACAAATAATACATGTGAATTAATTGAATTTAAATTAAAAAAAAAGAAAAAAGTGAACTAAAAAGGAGTATATCTTCACCAGGGTAGCCTTTTGCCTACCACCAGTTACTAGCAGAAACTATAATGGCTAGTTCTGTTATTTGCCATACAGATGGCAGTTTTGTGAATAGCTGACAGAAAAAAACCTCATATGCAAGTTTACCTGGTCCTCTCGTGGGCAATGAGGCGAGTCAAGTAAGTTGAATGAAGGTCGGGAAGCCTGAAATATCTTTGTAGGAAGATATATGTGAATATCTGCAAGAGGTTGACATTTATGGGAAAGGTTAGATAACTTAGGAGACTAAAAAAAAAAGTTCACATTTATACGCAACTGATAATTTATTGAACACTACACCTGAAACTAATGATGTACCATCAGTTGGCTAATTGAATTTAAATAAAAAAAATTCATAGTTGCCCTCAAAATGGAGTTGCATAGGAGTTGTTCTCTATCGAACAAGAGTAAGAAATTTATTGTTTCTTGCTAATATCACAGAAAAGAAATATGAGTATCAGATAATTTAAAGATTGTTCCATCAAACATACTTTCAGTGGAATGCCTAGAACTGTAGCATTAAATGGCCATTTAAGATACTAAAGCCTATGGATGTAATCAACATCACAATGGTGCTATTCCTGATACTTTGATAGAGTACCACATATAACAGAAAGAACCCAATTCTGTTTTCTATTTTCTGGACTGCCCTGGGGAAATATCTGGCTGTCAGCAGTTGTGTTTCCTTGAGAATAGATAAATGGATGACTCCATGTAGGGAATCAAAAATGTAGTGGCTGACCTACTTTGAGATATTCCTAATGTTTTTATTTATAGTCCAAATACTTACCATAACCTTAAAGGAGAGACTGTCTGGTCCCTTTCAGCATTTTATAGATACAGAAAGAAAGATAAGAGTTCAAAAAACTGTTCAGGCAAGTAAGTAGCAGAGCCGGGAATTAAGTTCAAGTTTCCTGAATCACAATGTAGAAGTGTAATTTAATAAAGTTGATTTTTTCACATAAGCCCTTTGTCAAGGAGGCATCCTCAAAGGGTACGCTGAGCTCTTCCCTGTTCTAAATGTTAAATGATTCATGTTTAGTATCTGTGGTTAGTAATGGTCAATTAAGTTTTAGACAGCAAGAGCATGCATCTCAATCATTCTCATCGTCTGTAAAATGTTACCATTTAGGTCCTGTCGGTGTGGTCAAGGAGCCCTTCATATGCAGCTACCATAGAGGCACTGAATACTCTTAGGAGCCGTGGCTATTCCTAGCAGTGTGTAGTAGAAGACATCCTCCAGCGCAAATACCCACCGAAGGGGGGTAGTGGTCACGGGGAGGACAACGGCAGGGTTGAGAAATGCAGCTCTACAAGCTGCCCGGAGCAACTGACTGTAAATGGCACAGCTGGCCTAAGGGAACCAGAGGCGGCTTGCTCAAGGGAGAGTATCTCCCTCTTCATTGCAAGGTTATCTTTTAATAGTTGGCAGTGCTTTCTCTTTAAATAAAAGTGCTTCCAAAGGAGTAACTTTCCCAAAGGAAACACCTTTTTCCATCATTTTAACCCCGATGTTCAAATGCTCCATGTCTCTTGTTCTGCTGCTTCTCACGAGGCAATGGTTAAACCGGGCTACGTGGCACTATCAGCGGCAAACCTATACACAATTCATTAACTTTACAAATATTTGAGTGCCTAATATGTTCCTTCTGTCTGAGTTGCTGGGGATACAGCAGTGAAAAACAGTTCGGGCTTGCACTGTAATAAACGTCCCGCCCCCATCCTGGGCTTCACGTCAATCCTGTGCCTGACTCCAGTGAGTCATGGCATTACTCACTCGGTACATGAAGCTCCTTGGCCTTGGTCACCAAGGACATTAAATCGCAGGTTGTTTGCACAGCAGCTTGGAACTGATCTAGCCCTCCCTTCTGTGAGGTAGGGGCTAGTTTAGGATGGGGAGCAGTGTGTGCCAAAAGGTGATCTAAATAACGAGCAACTTCATCACCACAGCGAGCTGCAAGGTTAGTGGGGGTAGGGGGAAGAGAAAAAAAAATGAACATTTTAGTTACTTCACAATCTGCCCCACCAGAGAATGATCAGCTCCTGTGCCCATAACACAGCACCGGAAGTAGGCTGTTTTAGGTCCTTGGCGGGCGGGGGGGGTGGGGGCGGATTGTGATCACTGTGCAATCTTGTAGCTTTACCATTTAGAAACTATGGCCATTTACCAGGACCCACCTGTTCTTCAACTTTGCTGACACACTATTAGGGTCCTTGAAAGCAGTATGAGCTTATTATAGGACAGGTGGAACAAGGATTTCATAATCTACGGATGTGCATGTGATGGGGGTGGTGGTGGCGGCAGTGGTGGTCAAGGAGTGGAATAGGGCCCTCGGAGTCTCACTGGTAGGAGGAGACTTTTGTGAGCAAAGGCAAAAATCTTCAACTAAACACCGAAGCTCACTAAAAACAGACAAATCCCATAAATGGCAGCTATAGTTGCTAATGGAAAGAACAATCTCCACGTGGCCTTGGTGTCAAAAGGATTACTGGCCACACACTGGTCCTTTTCATCACCGTATTCATTTATTCACCAAATATTTATTGCCCATTATGTACTAGGGGGTGTACTAGGTGCCGAGGTTTCAGTGGTGAAGAAGACAGACATGGTCCCTATCCTCTTGGACTCTCCTTCCCCCATACACCTCCTATAACATTATCTCTGACTATGGATAATGGAAACAAAAGACATACACATACCTCATGGATCCTAACATTTCAGACTGTACATGAACATTTGCAACATTTATAGTTGGAAAGCACAGTGTTTGGATCAATATTAAAGTCTGTGAGGTCAGTTATGTATCATCTTTTTTGATCATCTTCAGTGATCTCTCCAGATGTTTTTCTGTGCTCTGATGTGATTTTTAAAAAAATTTTATTTACTTATTTGAGAGTGAGAGAGCATGAGAGGGGGGCGGGTCAGAGGGAGAAGAAGACTCCTCGCTGAGCAGGGAGCCCGATGCAGGGTTTGATCCTGGCACTCCAGGATCATGACCTGAGCCAAAGGCAGACACTTAACCAACTGAGCCGCCCAGGCGCTCCTGTTCTGATGTGATTAATGGAAACTAGCAAAGCTGTAAAAACGGAACTCATTCTCAGTGACATCCTAATGACAATTATTATAACCTTGAATACAATATAGATACTTGAGTGGAGGATTATGAAGAATAGGGAGAGACGTGTTCTTGGCATGGCAGGGCTGGCAAGCAATAAACATGGCCATTGTGAGACCACTGATGAGTAAAACCAGAGAGGAGAAAGTGACTTAGAATGCATGGTATCAAATATAGTAATATATATCATGAAAAAGATAACATTTTAGAAAGTAAGAGAATGAGTGCTACAGATGAAAGTCACAACTACCCATAGCATAGCAAACAACCTCAATATATGATTATTCTGGTCTGCTTTTCAAAATATTTGTTTATGCCAAGATGGATCTCATGACTTTGGTAATTATTAATAGCAGGAAATAACTTTGTATTTATAGTATCTTTCCAAAAACAAATGCAGAGTGAATTAAATGGTACTTAGGTGAGTAAATGCTGAGCCCAAACAAGAAAATCATCCTCTGACTGATAATGTGTTGGTCTATTGTATATGAGGTAATGCTTGCTACCTCACTAAAGAAAGCCAATTCATTTTTATTCTTTTCTCTAACATACCACTCTTAAGATAAAGAAATTGGCTGCCTTAAGATATAGGCTAACAGGTAAATACCCAGACAATGAAAGCAGGCGAACTGTTTTTTAGATAGCTAGAAGAATTCGCTCCTATTGGCCCTTCTCTCTTTGGGATTCAAACAATGTAATTCCTGCCTTGCCTAGGTTAGTGTTTTAACACTTTAGGGTGTTTCTCAGACATTTTTAATATATGCCCCCATGATGCTTTCTCACTATATCATCCTTGTATTCCTAGTAGCCAATTAGATTTGTTGTGCTTTATTTGTCTAGCTTGCAATATGAAAGCAAAAGGCACACTGAAGAGGCTTTTTCAAATTATGCAGACCTCCCCAGAGATTCTAATGGGCCCTGGTAACATTATATATAAAAAGCATTCCAATTGAGTTTCTTATTTTTATACTTTTAAATGTCAAAAAGCAGTACTGTACATGTACAGTTCTCCTACTACATATTTGATTAAATAGCTCTCACTCACCATTGCTTCCTCTCATTTTGAAATCACCAGCCATTTCATATATATATACAGGACAGAAATCTTCCCTAACCTTAGTAAGAGAGAGTCAAACTCCATAATCCACAATCACCACAGGGATATTAGACCAGAAACCAAAGGTAAGTAGAAGGATGAAAGGTGAAGCCAAACAAAAGTAGAAGTCTAGGTGTATTAAATAGGGGTGAGACTGCTGGCGGTGAGAAATATTAAGGAGGATGCTTAACACTACTTTGTATTCTTGCCCAGCAAGGCCATTGCCTTTATGAAGCTCCCTTACCATTACGGGTTGAATCAGAGCTGTTCATCCAGTCACCAGATTCCAGCTCATTGTAGTTATCATCATAATCTTCACTGTACAGCTTACCCTCAGGTCCAGGATCCATGAAGCTCAAATGTGTGCAGCAAGACGTTGTCAAAAACTCCGACAATTTACCTGTTTGAATCCTGACAGTTACAGGGCAAATAGAAAACAGAAAATCAGAGGAAATCCTTTTAAAACAACACATTTCAGGGGGGCGCCTGGGTGGGTCAGTCGTTAAGCGTCTGCCTTCGGCTCGGGTAGTGATCCCAGGGTCCTGGGATCGAGCCCCACATCGGGCTCCCTGCTCAGTGGGAAGCCTGCTTCTCCTTCTCCCACTCCCCCTGCTTGTGTTCCCTCTCTCGCTGTGTCTCTCTCTGTCAAATAAATAAAGAAAATCTTTTAAAAATCCCCACATTTCAGTAAGAAAAAGGATACGTAGAATGTTTGTGGTTGGGGGACTTCTAATGCTTTTATATATTAGTATAAATTTTGTAAATATGAAATTTTATAGCACTTCTAGGCATGGTGTAGTGTAGGCTGGGGTGTTGTGTTAACAAAGACTAAAATTATGGGTTCACAATCTACCAGCAGATCAGTTTTGTTCTCTTTCACCACCATATACTATGCTGCTAACTATGTCAAACATCCAGCCAAAATCTCCACTGGCTGCAGAGAAGCTGGGACAGAATGAAGAGAAATCATCACAAATCCATCACATCATTAGAAAAAAATACTCAAAGATCATTTTGGAATTGAAAGATGATATTTGAAAATTTTATGAATTATAGAGGATTGTAGGCCATATCCTCTCCTATGTATAAAGCCAATTGCAAAACCCAAAGGGAAAGTCAGTAGTACTGATTTTCTCAAGAACCACAGCCTGGCACCTGGTGGAGAACATTATTGCTGTGGCTGCCACCAACATCCTGTACGTTTTCCAGGACACAATCAACTAAGGAAGCTAGCGCAAGGACTAAGCCTGGTCGCTTTCTCAGAGGAAGGACATTGTCCTCCTTTCCATGAAGGGGAGTAATGCGCTTCCCACTTCCCTTCGCAGACTGGAGGGACTGTCCTTCTGCCTTCAGTGAGGTGAGCTGTGGGTCGCTGCTCAAGCAAAAAACCCACTCAAAGCAGAATTGGTGGGCAGGCTCAATAAAGGCCATTACTCAAAATAGATGTACAAAAAAGAAAAAGAAGTCAGCTTGAAGGGGCTCCCAAAGGCCAGACCTTGGATAATGTGAACACTGAAAAAAACAATGACAGGAATGGAGCATAGCATATTGAATAAAATCAGAATCCATGAATCTATGCTACACTAAAACTATAAAATAAAAGGGGATAACGGAAAGCTCTCTCTCTCTTTTTTTTTAACACAAGGATTCTAACTAATAAATATGCACAGGATGATAGAAACACAGAATCATCACTTTAAAACCCCATTAGTAATAACTGATTCACCAATGGAAGGTAAGACTAGTTAAAGATTATCATAGAAAGGATATGGAGAAACCTACCAGATACCACTTTAACCAAACTGAAAGACATTCTGCATTATAACTGACCTTCTTTCTTCAAAACTGTGCTTAAAACTGTCATGAAAGGTTCACAAAAGGCTGGGGAATTGTTCTAGATTAAAAGACATCAAGGAGATATAATAACTAAATGCCAATGTGTGATCTTTGATTGGGTCTTAGAATGGGAAAAAAAGGTATGGGAAAAAAACATTATTAGGACAATTGGGTAATTGTGAATATGGACTCCAGATTAGGTAATAATAGTACTGTATCAATATTGAATTTTGTGAGTGTGATGATTGTATTGTAGCTATGAGAATACCCTTGTCCTCATAAGACAAACTAAAGTATTTAGAGTTGAATTGTCATGATGTCTCTGGCTAAATCTCATACTTCAGCAATTAAAGAGTGTGTGTGTGTATGTGTGTGTGTGTACATTTGCACATATGTATGTGTGAGAGAGGGAGGAGAGTAGAGAAGAAGGGAAGTGAGGGAGGAGTGAGAGGAGAGGAAGGAAGAGGAGCGAGAGAGAATGTACAAGTGAAACAGATGTTACCAACAGGTGAATCCTAAGGAACGGTATATGGTGTTCAATACCATTTTTGCACACTTCTGTAAGCTTGGAATTTTTCAAATAAAAACTTAGGGAAAAGAGAAAAGAAAAGCAGCCAGAATTGAACAGTTCAGTAGCTTTTTTGCTTTTGAAAGAATAAGTTTTCTGGTCCACTGAATTGATGAGGTCTAGGCAAAGAACAGGGTGGGGAAACATTCCAAGCCTTCTCTATAACATTAAATTCCTTCATTCGAAGTATCAAAAATGAGTTCCTCTAAATAGAATGGGACTATATTGTGCAATGGATGAATTGTTGAACACTGCATCTGAAACTAATGATGTACTAAGTATTGGCTAATTGAATTTAAATAAATAAATAAAAAAGACACAGAGAAAGGCATTACAAGTCTACCATTACTATACCCAGTTTCCAAATTTCATTTCTTTTCACTAAAAAGTGTGTAGAGGTCACTTACCTTGCTCCACCAAAGTAGCCATCCTGCATTTTTCGGAGTGCTGCTAGGATACTTGAATTCAAGCTGGTTCCGTCTTCATCTTGAAATGAAGAGAATTTTAAAACAATTTTTTGTGGTTTTAACTTTGAAATAAGGGGAATATTTCAATTATTTCAAACCAACATTTCTGGTGGTAATGGTACAGATGAGACGCTCTTCATTGTCCACCCTGTATTTCAACAATTGGTCTGAGAGCCAACAACACCATAGAATGGGCAAGTGGTAAGGGCGATTACCAATAGACAGAGTTCCTCAAAGATAGTATCTTATCATAAGCACTTAGCACAGTGCCTGATGGCGGAATACTTAATGGTTACTGAAAGCTGACAATAACAACAACAACCATTTGTTTAATGTTAGGTGCCAAGCACTGTGCTAAACATTTTATATATTATCTCATGTAAGGAGCCTTGGTGTGTGTGTGTGTGTGTGTGTGTGTGTGTGTGTGTAGGCATACAAAATAAAGAAGGCTAACAATTACCTGACTTTATGTGCAGGGGATCATACTATACATACTCTTTCATGATCCACTTTTCTAACTTATCCTTTGTAAAAGCTAAAAAAGATTCCAGAGCAGACATTTGAACTGTTTTTGTATTATAAGCAACACTGTGATGAAGATCACTGTACTTACATGTTTATGCACCTATTCTGTGATTTCCTTAGGATAAATTCTAATAAGTAAAACTGTTAGGACAAAGGGAACACTTACTAAAAATTTTATAGAGACTGCCAAAATTGCCCACTAAAAAAGTTGTGCCAGTTATATTTCCACCATCAGTATAGAAAGCGGCTGTTTTCCCACATCTTTATTAATGATCTTTTAAATCTTTGTTTATGTGATACTTATAAGATACTGTTTTTATTTTTTTATTGTTTTATTACTAGCAAGTAAGATTGAGCATGTTTTCAAACTGAGGGTTGCTGGAGTCGGGGGTGGGTGGGAGGGATGGGGTGACTGGGTGATAGACACTGGGGAGGGTATATGCTCTGGTAAGCGCTGTGAATTCTGCAAGACTGTTGAATCTCAGATCTGTACCTCTGAAACAAATAATGCAATATATGTTAAGAAAAAAAAAAGAAGATAGCAGGAGGGGAAGAATGAAGGGGGGGAAATCGGAGGGGGAGACGAACCATGAGAGACTATGGACTCTGAAAAACAAACTGAGCGTTCTAGAGGGGAGGGGGGGTAGGGGGATGGGTTAGCCTGGTGATGGGTATTAAGGAGGGCACGTTCTGCATGGAGCACTGGGTGTTATACACAAACAATGAATCATGGAACACTACATCTAAAACTAATGATGTAATATATGGAGATTAACATAACAATAAAAAAATTTAAAAAAAGATTGAGCATGTTTTCATGTATATACTGGCTATTTGTATTTCTTTTATGATTTGCCTGTTCATGTCCTTTTCCCTCGCTTCTATTATTTATCTTTTTGCTAATTGACTTTCAAGGGTTCTTTATGTTTTGTGAATATTATTCTTTTCTCTACCATATGTATGGAAAATACCTACTTTGTTATTTGTCTTTCAACCTCAAACATAGTTCATTTTTGTACAAAAGACTTATTTAAATTTTCATGTTTTTGAATTTGCCAATTTTTTCCTTTTTTGTGTCAAAAAGTACAGTTTTTTTCAGCTCAAGATCACAAAAACATTCTCCCATATTTCCTTTTAATACTTTTTTTTTAAAGATTTTTATTTATTTATTGAGAGAGATAGTGATAGAGAGAGAGAGCATGAGAGGGGGAGAGTCAGAGGGAGAGGCAGACTCCCCGCCAAGCAGGGAGCCCGATGCGGGACTCGATCCCGGGACTCCAGGATCATGACCTGAGCCGAAGGCAGTCGCTTAAACAACTGAACCACCCAGGCGCCCTCCTTTTAATACTTTTATAGGTTTATTTATTTTTGCTTATATATATTTTTAAGATTTTATTTATTTATTTGACAGAGAGAGAGAGAGACAGTGAGAGAGGGAACACAAGCAGAGGGAGTGGGAGAGGGAGAAACAGGTTCCCCGCCAAGCAGGGAGCCTGATGTGGGGCTCGATCCCAGGACCCTGGGATCACGACCTGAGCTGGAGGCAGATGCTTAATGACTGAGCCACCCAGGCGCCCTTATTTTTGCTTAGATTTTTAAACTATTTAGAATTTAATTTTGAATAAAATGTAAAGTAGCAGGCCTAAATGAATGATTTTCCCAAATGTATTTATTTACATATTTTTTCTCATGTTTTTATTTAGATCCCAGTTAGTTAACATACAGTGTAATATTAATTTCAGGTGTAGAATTTAGTGATTCAACACTTCATACAACACCTGGTGCTCATCATGACAAGTGCCTCCTTAATCCCCATCACCTATTTAACCCACCCCCCACCTCCCCTCTGGTAACTGTCAGTGTGTTCTCTACAGTTAAGAGTTTATTTCTTGGATTGCTTCTCTCTCTCTTTTTTCCCCCTATGCTCTTTTTTTTGGTTTGTTTTGTTTCTTAAATTCCACGTATGAAAGAAAAATAATATGGTATTTCTCTTTCTCTGACTTATTTCACATAGCATTATATTCTCTAGCCCCAACTATGTCCTTGCAAATGCCAAGATTTCATTCTTTTTGATGACTGAGTAATATTCCTCTATCTATCTATCTATCTATCTATCTATCTATCTATCTAATCTACTACAACTTCTTTATCCATTTATCAGCTGATGGATACTTGGGCTCTTTCCATAATTTGGCTATTGTTGATAATGTTCTTTGGCCTCTATCTGGATTGCAACTTTTATCATTATTTTAACTACAGTGGCTCTGTCTCCTGTCATCATTTTTAGTTTTTTAAAAATCTGATTATTTTTGCACATTTTCTCTTCCATATGAAATTTAGATTCAGCTTGTTCATAAAAATTTGAGTTTTTATTTTGATTTGGAATTGCACTGAATTGATAGATTAATGAGAATTGACATCCTCTCAGTATTAACTATTTCCATCTAGCAACATGGTATGTCTCTCTAGTAATTATAATCTCCTTTTATGCTCTTCATTAGTTTTATAATTTCTCATATGATTCTATGCATGTTTCTTATTAAGCTTATTCTTATATGATTTACTTTTCTAGAACATTTGTTAATTTTATCTGGATTTACAAAATTAAATTTGGTATTCTCTTATAATTTTTATTATTTTTTATCACTATTTTTCTATTTATTTGAAGCACAGTTGAAAAAATTGGTACACTTTGGAAATTTAGTGGCACAAGGTATACTAGCATAGCTTGAGGGACGTTATACAGTTAAAAAAAAAGCGGGGGGGGTACTAAGGGCATAGTCCAAGGTGGCAGAGGAGTAGGAGATCTTAGTTTTGTCTGGTCCCAGGAATTCAGCTAGATAACTATCAAATCATTCTGAACACCTGTGAACTCAATTGGAGCTCTAAGAAAATAATAGCTGCAACTCTACAAATAGAAAAGCACTTTCTATTTGAATAGAATTCAAATTCAAATTCAAATTCAAATAGAATTCACTTTCTGTGAGAATGACAAGACGGACAAACTCACCTCAAAAAAAGCGAACAAGAGGCAGTACTGACTGCCAGGGGCCTAATCAGTATGGATACAAGTAAGATGTCAGAACTAGAGTTCAGAATAATGATTATAAAGATACTAGCTGGGCTTGAAAAAAGCACAGAAGACACTAGAGAATCCCTTTCTGGAGAAATAAAAGAACTAAAATCTAACCAAGTTGAAATAAAAAAGGCTATTAATGAGATGCAATAAAAAATGGAGGCTCTAACTGCTAGGATAAATGAGACAGAGAGAGAATTAGTGATGTAGAAGACAAAATGATGGAGAATAAAGAAACTGAGAAAAAGAGATAAAGAACTACTGGATCATAAGGGGAGAATTTAAGAGATAAGTGATACCATAAAGCGAAACAATATTAGAATAATTGGGATCTCAGAAGAAGAGGAAAGAGAGAGGAGCAGAAGGTACAATGGAGCAAATTATAGCTGAGAACTTCCCTAATCTGGGGAAGGAAACAGGCATTGAAGTCCAGGAGGCACAGAAAACCCACCTCAAAATCAATAAAAATAAGTCAACACCCTGACATATAATAGTGAAACTTGCAAATCTCAGAGACAAAGAGAAAATCCTGAAAGCAGCTTGGGACAAGAGGCATGTAACCTACAATGATAGAAACATTAGATTGGCAGCAGACCTATCCAGAGACCTGGCAGGGCAGAAAGGATTGGCATGATATATTCAGGGTGCTAAATGAGAAAAATATGCAGCCAAGAATACTTTATCCAGCTAGGATGTCATTCAAAATAGAAGGAGATATAAAAAGCTTCCAGGAAAACAGAAACTATAAGAATTTGTGATCACTAAACCAGCCCTGCAAGAAATATTAAAAGGGATACTTTAAACGAAGAGAGAGCCCAAAAGTAACATAGACCAGAAAGGAACAGAGACAATATACAGAAACAGTGGCCTTACAGGTAATACAATGGTACTAAATTCATATCTTTCAATAGTTACTCTGAATGTAAATGGCCTAAATGTCCCAATCAAAAGACACAGCATATCAGATTGGATAAAAAAAATAAGACCCATCGATATGCTGTCTGCAAGAGACTCATTTTAGACCCAAAGACACCTCCAGATTTAAAGTGAGGGGGTGGAAATCCATTTACCATGCTAATGGACATCAAAAGAAAGCTGGGGTAGCAATCAACAAAAAGAAATAAAAAGCATTTGAATGGGCAAAGAAGTCAAAATTACTCTTTGCAGATGACATGATACTCTATGTGGAAAACCCAAAGACTCCACCCCAAAATTGCTAGAACTCATATGGGAATTCAGCAAAGTGGAAAGATAAAATCAATGCACAGAAATCAGTTGCATTTCTATACACTAGCAATGAGACAGAAGAAAGAGAAATTAAGGAGTTGATCCCATTTATAATTGCACCAAAAACCATAACATACCTAGGAATAAACCTAACCAAAGAGGCAAAGGATCTGTACTCAGAAAACTATAGA